CTTATTTTTAGAAAACTAGGCCTCAATGTCCAGAGAAAATGACAAATTTCACAACCGGCTCCTCAGAGGGCCTCATCGCATATTCAGTGGAATTTAATTAAATCATTAAGGCCTGTAGAAATGGATTGAGCTAAGCTGTAAGCCGTACAAAAGTTTAAGTAATATAATATGTAATTTTAATTACGATATTTTATTAAAAAGTAGACTTTCCATTCTGTGAATGAGACCGCACATATTTTATGGTTTAAAACCTCGACTTCCATCACACGTTTCACTGGCTCCCTTTTTAAACATCGTTTGTTTTAGGTGTCGCGCGTGTGGACGTGTGAAACGGCACGGTGACCCAGTATGGGAGGCCCATCCGCCAGTCATCTCATTCAGTTAACCCCAAACACCTCAGTCTGTCCCGTGACCCCGCCAGTAAACTTTCGACGCTTCACGGTGGCCTCAAAGTACACCTAGCCTGGCGCAAGTTCTGCGGCGATGCGACGCCTCCAGTCATTTAGTAGGTATGTACATTGTATGTCTCGAACTGCATTCGCACTCGTACGTAGCCATCCGTGCAAATCGGAGGTGCGAGATCTGCCAAACAATTCTGTGGGTCCACACATTCAACAAAACCAACTTCTGCTCTTCTCTACACCACGAATGTGGCACAGCAGTGGCACCTGCCTCACGCGTACCGAAACTTGGGGTAGGGAACGGTGAAATGTCAGGGTCGCTTAAAACATTGCGGCCACTTTGACACTATTGTGGATGAGGGTGGAGCCGTCATGGGCAGAGAAATGGTGGGCTGTTGTTGCTCGGGTGTGACTGGTTGAATGCACGGGTGCATTTTTAGCGACCGCTATTTTGCTCCACGCGAAAAGTCCCAATGAGTCCACCGAACTGCCTTCGTCTCTTCCATGCAGCCGAGCCAGCAGCCCACGACGGCGAAGCGTCGCGACTTCCCTCTCGGGTCACGTGTACCGTACGCGCAGGGGCCAGGTTCACTCCTTGTCGGAAACTCATCACTCCCGGCGATCGGACCCATTGTTTTTGGCAATGAAGGTGCATTGGAAACATCTTGGCAAATTTTTCTTTTTATAACCTCTGGACAAAATGTCTCGTTTTCCAACATGGGGATCAGATCCTAAGTGTGTCCATTTGTTGAACAGGTCCGTCTGTCTACAGTTCTGTGCCAGTAGTGCATCGTTCATGGGTGGCTAGATGTTGTAACACGGGGGAGCGGTGGCGCGTAGCAGTCATCGCACTACTATAAACCCGGCGACTTGAGTTCGATTCCCAGACATGGCTAACATCAGTGGGGGGAGGTGACATTTGAGCCATTCTTGGATCCGTCAAGAAGACTGGGATATAAACCTGGGATTTGTTGCGCCCCCCAATATTCGTCGCCAATCCACGTTGTCCAATATGGTGAAGTATGGTCAAACGATCCCCATGAGCAACACAGCGTGGGGGAGGCCTTCATCCAGCAGTGGATTGAGAAAGGGCTGTTAGAAAATAGTCTTAGGTTTGAGTGTAAAAAAAAAAGTTTGTATACCCTAGAGATTTAGCCACGTCTCAATATGGGTAAACAAACTTATCTAAAGAGTTAAGACGAGGTTTATATTTTTTAAATTTGTATTCGTGCAGGGAATGATTGGGAGAATTCTACAGATCAAGGAAGGAAATCAAAGCAACAGTGTTATTCCTTGATTTGAAGTTTTCGTGACTGCAGGAATCCATACTCTTTGGTTCTTTCGGTAAAGTCACGTAGGTAGAAAAAAATAATAATAAATCACGACGTTTCGATCGCAACGCAGGCAATCGTCATCGGGAAGAAAGACACAGCAGCAGAACTGCTGAACAAGAAAAGGCTGTTGCAACCAGAGGTTATACTGGTAGGAACCTCCTGGTTACACCAGCCCTTAGGGGATTATTGTGTCCGTCCGTCCGTCGTGCATACAAAAATGGGAGGGGTGGGGCTGAGTGGAGAGGGGAGGGTGGGGAGGGGCTGGGTGGTGAGGGTGGGGAGGGGCTGGGTGAGGGGGCTGGTCACCCCGTGGTGCCCTTATAAAACTCAACGTTTAACTTACTCACGCCGGCTTGTGCCCGCCCTCACAGCCAGCCATATTTACGGAATACACCACTCCGCCGTTGACCCTGGCCATTGACCGAGCAACCCAACGTTCCTACCAGCTCCCTCCGCAGGAACGTGTTATACAGGTGTGAGGTGGGTGTCACCCAAGGGCAGGTAGGCGGGGTCCGAGATGGAGTCTCGTTGCTGTGCGCACGCACAGCAGCCGCGTCAAAGGAGGATTGGCATGCTGATGACGTGGCTGCTGTCCGTCCTTGACGACGGTGCTGGTGTGCGACTACGGGGCTCATTGCCGATTTGCATCAGCATGCCAAGCATCCTTTGACGCAGCTGCTGTGCATGCGTGCGGCGACGAGACTCCATCTCGGACCCCGCCTACCTGCCCTTGGGTGACACCCACCTCACACCTGTACATAACCTCTGGTTGCAACAGCCCGTTCTTGTTCAGCAGTTCTGCTGCTGTGTCTTTCTGCCTCGTGACGATTGGTTGCGTTGCGATCGAAATGTCGTGATTTATTATTACTTATATGTTCTACCTCTGTGACTTTACCGAAAGAACCAAAGAGTAAACTTTATTATTATGATCATAGGAGAGCAAATGAAGTCACTTCGCTGGGAGGCAGAGAGTCGTAGGGCAGAAGAGAATCATCTCGAGTCTGCACCTCAAACGGATGGAAAGGGTCTCAGCAGGGACAACGGGGCCAGATGAAGAAAAGACCCAAACGCAGCGGGCGCAGCATCAGAGAAGGGAGCGACCTCCCCACGAGAGAGCGCGCGCTTGACTGACGGGCTTGTAATTAAGGGAGGCGAGGGTCGAGTGGGGCCCGGTGCAGTCCCGCTGCGTCCTGCTGCCCCGCGTGTGTGATGCGTAATTGATGGAAGCTTTGATGGAAGGCGCCTCCCCGTTGCAACCTCTCACGTCATCAGGTGACCACGCATAAATGTGCCCTTCAGTCCTCAATAATTAAGCGCGTGTATTTTAACGCTTAAACCGTTAAGCAGCTGCCAGTGACCCGACGTGCATTGTATTGACGTCGCCTATTTAAATGTGCCTTTCATGTTGCGCTTCAAAAAACACTTTTCTCATTATGCCGCGTCCGTGCATTCTGTATCCAATTAATTTTCTGTGAACTAAGACTAAGATAAATATATATGTGTTAGCTCTTATCCCAGCCTCTATAACTAAAAAGACAGAAGTGGAAGAAGGAGAAAAAAACGCACAGACAGCTTTTGAAAAAAACATTTTGCATGTAACTTGTATATCGTGCATTGAATCTGGATCGGTTTCTCCTGCGCGGTTAGATTCTACAATGTGGCATCTCAGGGGGGCACGGGATTGCAAGGGAACAGGGGGTATGCTTGCATCTGTAATTTAAGCAATCGGGTTTAAAACAATAATAATTACAATATAATTCCCTTCGTCAAAGCAACTCTTGCATGAAGGCCTCCCCATGCTACGTCAGACATGGGGGTAGTTTGACCATACTTCACCACCAGTGGCAGTTCGTAGCTCCAGGTTGAGAAAGCAACAAAATCCGCTTCAAGTTTTTCAGTCTCAGCTGATGACGTGTGCAGGTGGACTCGTCGAGAATTGTAATTCGCGGGCAGTGTGCGGTGGAGACGATGGCACGCACGTGCCGAGCTGCCACCAAAGCAGTTCCCTCCGGGAAGCTTCATCTGGTGGAGAAAAGCGCAGATTATGACGCCGATGATGAAGCCACTGTCAGTGCATTCCAGCTTCTCGGTGGGTCACTATGCGAGTCTGTGGCTGTCTGTGCCAGTCTATGGGTCTTTCTGTGAGTCTATGGGTTCCTACGTGAGAAGCCATTGCCCAATGCATTCTCGGTGTCCAATGAATCCATCTGCACACGTTGTCAGCTGAGGCACGACAACTCGAGAAGGACTCTGTAGATTATTCAGCATGGTGCCACGAAGCGCCACTGGCCATCACATTGGTCAGTGTAGGTTGGTGCATGGTTTGAGCTCGGAACTCGTCTGGAGATAACTCACCACCGATGTTTTCCATGGACAAGATTCGAACTGGTTGCTGTGTTAATAGCGGTGCGCTGACCACTGCACTCTTAATGCTCTCCTCCAAACTATGGGGTTTGGTAAAGAAAGATGTAACCCAAAGTCTCCCAAAATGAATCCCTTTCCTCCTGCTGCATGCCAATGCAGATTAAAAATGTTTCGTTTTAATTAAATGTTATGTGTGTGTATATATTTTTATTTGTTTGCCAATTGTACCGAGCGCCTCGAAGAGTACTAGGGCAGATATATTATGTTCCAGATAGATAGATAGATATTTACACGGTATATATTTTATTTGTGGCCATTAACATGATTCTCACACTCACCAAGCTGAAAATTGAACGGCGTATAAAGCAACGCTGCCGTGCTGTTTGCTGCATCTCCATGTTGCCCAGAAACATCACGAGTCATTGCAGTCCCAGTTTAGTTCTGTCCTGTACAGCAACTAATGTAGGGCTGAGTTGTCCTTCTGAATTGGTTTGTTGTGTTTGTCGTTTGGCCGTTTCAGCAGTGTGTGTGTGTGCGTGTTTTTTCTTGCGTCCATAACGTAAAAATAACTCGGAATAATATTATAAACGGTGAAAATGTTGCCTTCGTGGAAACAACGTAGTTTTGTTGTGGGCACCCACCCGCCCCCGAAATAACCCAACGTTTTAAAGGACATCGCTGGATTCCAATTGCGATGTCGGTGCCTCGTCCCCAACGAGACGAAGAACCCACGCAGAACACTCGCGCGACCCTCCGTGGAAGATCACAGCCCACGGAAGGAGCCAATAACGCGAAACGACTTCTGCGATCACTCCCAAGTGTGAGCGATCTCTGGTCCGCACAGCGGCCGCGGCGCGAGAGGGTTTGCGATTCCTGCGCTCGCTTTTGCCTCCCCGTGCAGAGAAGCTGGACGCGCTCCTGGCCGCCGCCGCCACCGTCGCCCCCCACGCCGCGGCCTACGACAACGCGGCGGCGGACTCGCGTGCGGCCACGGTCCGGCAGAGGCCCACGAGCCGGCGGCTCACGCCCGGCGAGATCTGCGTGAGTGACCCGCATCCCCCGCACGCACGCACGCACGCGCGCGACGTTTGACGTGACGCACGCTTGCAATGCGGTAACCCTCTTCGTGCTCCTGGAACAGCAAAGCAGGTCGCGTACACTGGCACCCAGAGAACACAGTGCCTGTGGCCAGGTCAGACCATTCGCATGGACTCTTGACAGCTATTCATCAATTTAACTAACGTCATCATCAGCCATCATCTCATCCATTGCTGGAAGAAGGCCTTCCCAAGCTGTCTAATTTTGTCTGTGTACGGTGCGAAAGAAGTTCAGCATATATACATACAACAATGCATCTAGCTCCACTACGTAAAATAATCTAATCGCTCCATCTCCGCAGTCAGGGTCCTCTTGGGCATGTTTACGAAGTTGCTCTCTGTTGTAATAGGCATTACACGCGTGATGATTTGTCTCCTCCTCACAGTTGCATTGTTGCGTATGATGGCAAACTACATAGCCCACTGAGCTATGTAGCTCATTTTCACGAGCGACCTGGCCACAAATGATCACTCAACAAAACGGTGTATCGTGTGGAAATACATAGCAGCCAAATACTCTGAATGCATGGTTCTGAGTGTGGAGGCAAAAACCGGACGACCCGGAGAAAAATCCACGCGATCACGGGGAGAACGTGCAAACTCCAAATATACAGGTGTCAGGGTCGGGATCAAACCCACGACCTCCTATATACCAGGCGAGGTAGTTAACATCTCGCCACCATGACGTTGTAGGCATATTGTGTGCATTGCGTGGTTATGCTGTGATGCCATCGATGACCTGGGTTCCATTTCCAGCCACAGATAAGAACAGTGGCAGGTGGCATCTGTATTTGTCCTGTACCTTTCCAAGGCCAACTCGGCCCTAAATAAATGTCTGGTGCTGTGTGTTAACATTGGCAGCCAGGTGTGGTTTTGGCCACCTTTTAAAAAGTCAATACCGCCTAATAGTCTTTGCCTTTTGTGTTTACATAGCGTAAGAGCACAGCACGTGATGTGTGTGCAAGATCAGAGTTTTCTTCTCATATGCGTGGGGTTTCTCCTGGCACACAGATCTCCAACACAAACAGAACAAAACTGTAAATATTCCTGAAAAATAGAATGATTCTGAATTTGTCTGTACAAAGGGCAAGTCCATGGCTCACACCCTCTCCATCCTATTCAATCTCATTCATCCTCTTCATTTTTCCACATTTCACTCTGATTCTTGAGCCGAAACTGGGGAAGAACGTTGGAGATGGTTTTCCTTTGGCTGCCCCAACAGCGTGGATTTTTTTTAAGGTGGCTCCATCAGCAGATGCAGTTTAACATCGTATTGTGGATGGAATACCGCCGACCGTGATTATGTTCATAATATTGTTTTGATGCAGAAACAAAAAATATTCTCAAGGAAAATTGCAAAAGGCATTGCGATAGCCGATAATCCCCCCTCTGCATCGTTGGTGAGCCGTTGCCCCGCTGGGGTTTGAGTAAACAAGCCTGTGACCTAGGGTCCAGATGTCGAGTGCCCCAGCCAGCGCACGATGGACTCTCTGTAGTTCTAGAGTCACCGGGTATTGATCAATTACAATGAAGCAAGAGAAACAGTTTCAGGCTCTGCATTGTGACAAGAGGAAAAAGGGAAACAAAAAAAAGAGAACTTTTGAACAAGCCAAGCATGAAATTAAAATATAGATTTTTTTCTCCCGAAATATTTATTTAATTATGTTACACGTGGTACGTCCACATTCGTTGTAACCGATTTTTCTAATTTGGGTCGGTATCGTAATGGCTCGGACGTCTCATTTCAGGAGCTGATTGAGAGGCAGGGCGCCCGAGCCGCCACGGACGAGAAGCCCGTCATGAGCGCCGCCCCACGACTCTGCAAGGCCCTCTCCAGGCAGAAGTCGACCGGTTGGTTTGGCGAACCCCAGCGCCCACATGCCGCCAATCGTTGTAACGCAGGGAAACGTCAATATAAATTTTTTTTTTTAGGGATCTAGCAAACGCACCGAATGTTAGATGCAGGAAAATGTTAAATCGGTGAACATGGTATAACAGTGTTAAGAAGGAATTTTTTGGCGCTCTAAAATGTTGTTACATGTGACCAGTTAACCTGTAGTGTGCCCGGTCCCATCAGGGTTGAGCCTGGTTAGTGGTTGGATGACCAAACCATGAACAAATCACCCAGAATGCACTTGTTCTTATCAGATCTCGAGGGATTCGCAGTGGTAAGCCTGAATTGCACCAGTGATGGGGGTTGTGAAACAGTCTGCTGTGAGACTACGTGGTGGCCGGTTGGGGGGCAGTGCAGAAAAGCCTTTGCTCTCCTCTATGCTCCTCTATGCTCAAGCGTCTACGCTTCCTGCCTTCACTGACCCGCACTGACCAGCTTGGTGAAGTATGGTGAAATAACCCCCGCGACCAACACGGCGTGGAGAGACCCTCATCCAGCAGTGGATTGAAAACATGACCATACGTGTCGAGTAATGGGATATTGTATATACCGGAAAACAACAAATTGGGAACATTGCAATGAGTTTTTACTGTAACAATACAATCATAAGGGCCTTTACCCAGGAAAGCCTGACTCTCAAGACTCATTTTCAGGATTGCCCTGCTTACATATGGAATGATTTGCCCATTTCCGTCAACGGGTGTTTTGGGATTTTAAAAGAAACTGGAGGAAACTTGGCGGTGCCTAACGGGGCCATTAACACTCGTAGCTCTGCACGCGCAGATTCAAGGATCCGTTGCCGAACTCTCTTGACCACCTTGTGGCCAAAGCCTTGCATCGCCCGGCATTAATGGGTAGTCTCCTGTCCCAGTGCTTAACTAGGCTCAATCCTGCTTTTAGCTTTTCAAAATCGGACAAAGTGTGGCGTGTTCAGGGTGAATTGTTCATACTTACCCCCCCACACACACACAGGTGCTCACGCTGCCCTTGATCGAAGCCCGAGAGCGTTTCACGGATAGTGCCGTGAAATGCTGTGGTGCTCGTTTCAAATGCATCCCTCTGCAAACACTCGGCCTGTTGTAACGGTGAAAGTGTCGGGATGAATACACTTTTTCAGACTGTCCGTCAAGGTATCGTCCATTATTAAAGATTAATAATCAGACGGTACTCTGATCAGTAAAAAAAAATCGAAGGCACACACACATGGTAATACGACTATGTTATGGCAAGAGTCGCATTCCTCTAAAACTCCACGGGTTCACCATGGCATTGCCAAACAAACCCATCGCGTCGAGATTTTAGAGGCGTTCTCAGGTGTGATGGGTTAAAATGCTTCTGTTGTGCGCTGTCGAAGATTACTCAAAATGAAGGGTACAGTACGCACGTGAGGAAATGTGTCGCCGAAAAGTTCAACCGCGCAGTTCAAAAGCGCCGTCTCGCGGTAAATTCTTAAATAACGGTCGATACCTCTTTCGGACGCTGCTCCCCCCCCACCCCCCCGGCGTTACGGGGGGAACGCGGTGGCTCTCCGAGCGAATTAATGGAGCGTGCGTCTGGCGGCCCCTCCACGCAGGAGTGAGCACAGATGAGGAGTGGCTGCTCGCGCCGCCCCTCAAGTTCACACGCAGCGCCTCCGTGCCCGACGCCGGCGACGCTTTCGGGGGGATACCCCCGCCGCCCCCCGACGCGCCGCCCCCGCCCCCCTCGGGCCCCACGTTCGACGTCGACCAGGCCCCCCCGCCCAACTTCACGCCTCCGCCCCCGCCGCCCGCGCGCTCCGGACCGCACCGCCCCGGAGAGCTTCCCGACCGGGGCTTCGCCGCCGAGCCCGGCCCGCCGCCCGCCGGCTCTTCTGTGGTCGGCGCCGAGGCCGGCGGCGCGTCCGAGGTGCCGCCCGCCGGCTCGGCCACGCTGAACAAGTACGGCAGCGGCAGGCGCGGCGGTGCCAAGCCCGTCAACCCCTACGCCACCGTCGGGCAGAGCGGCGGGGCGCTGCTCTACTCGCCCAAGCCGCTGCGCCGCAAGGCGACGCTCGTCAAGCAGTGCCACGTAGAGGGCAGCCCCGAGAAACGGCCGTCGTCGCCGCCCGCGCCGCCCGCGCCGCCCCCGCCGCAGACGCCCACGACGCCCGGCGCCCCGTGCCTCGCGCCCAACCCCATCGCCATCGTGCCCACCATCATCATCAAGGAGCCCTCCACCAGCAGCAGCGGCAAGAGCAGCCAGGGCAGCAGCGTCGAGTTCGAGTCGCACTTCGGCACCTGCGGCGGCATCGGAGGCTTCAGCGTCGCCGGCGGCGGCGGCGGCGACGGCTCCGAGACGCTCAGCCCCGAGGGCTCGGCTGTGAGCCCCCTGCAGGCCGCCCTCGTCGACGCCGTGCGGGAGCGGCAGCTTCGCGAGCGGCGCCGATCGGCCAACTTCCTGTCCGTGGACGGGAGCAACGGGAATGCGGACAAAAACCGGGACCAGGATCGGGGCAACCACCGCTCGGTGCCCGCGCGACTTCGGCTGCAGCACTCCAAGTCCGTCGACGAGAACCTGCCCCCGCCGGACGAGCCGGAGATAAGCCCCTCGACTGCCGGCAGCGGGACGGGCCAATCCCCGAGGGGGGGGGCGATGGCCTTCGTGGACCCCGCGTCCCCGCTGGCGCTCGCCCTGGCTGCCAGGCACAGGGCCCTCAAGGGCTGCGGCGAGACTGTCCGTGGAGCTGGACGAGTGCGCCGCCACCGCCGGCAACAACAACAACAACAACGCGAGCGCCGGCAGCTCCATGCAGCCACTGTACATCGACACGCACAGCAGGGATGTCGCGCGGGCAGGCGGCGCGGCCTTCCCCGAGAGCTTCGCCAGCGACCTCAAGTCGTGCTTGGACAGCTTCGCGGCCAAAACGTGCAAGGCGTCCAACGAGCCGGGAGCGCCGGTCTTCTCCAAGCTCCCACCTGGAGGTAACCGGGAGGCGGACGCGAGGTTTGAGCCCGCGGAGAAGCGAGTGGCGGAGAGGAAAACCGTCGTGATGAGCGTCATGGAGGATGGCGGAGGCAGGTCGGGCGCCGCCGGCCTGCTCATGGTGCACAACTCCAAAGGGCCCGCCGAGAAAGGGAAGAAGAAACTCGAAGGGGGCAGCGTCAGCGATAAAATCCGCCGGTTCTCCGAGAGCTTCACGCTGTCGGGGCCCCTGACGGAGATCGAGGTGTTGGACCCGGGAGGGGGCACGCAGCGCATCCTACAGCCTCCGTCCTCCATCCCGCGGCCACCCGGCATGCCGTGCGCGCAGCTGAGCCTCGAGTACACGGAGGAGACCGTCGTGATCCCCGCGCCGCTCGCGAGGCAGAACAGCGACGTGGAGGAAGACTTCGTGTTCACCGACCCCCTGCCGCCACCCATTGAGTTTATGAACGAGATGTCCGTGGACGACCCGGACGAACTGGGCGGTCGCGAGATCACAGCTGCCGCCGCCGCGAAGGCCCGGGGAGGGGGGAAAACGACCCAGGGCAACTGCGTGGCGAGAAGCGTGTGCCCCAGTGAAGTGACGTCGTTCACCGTCACGTCGATCACTGACGTGATGCTCAGTGTGGGCGGCGGCGGCACCGGCGGGATGTCGCGGTTCGGGCCCAGCCCTCCCCACGACGCGCTCGACACGAGCACAGACTCGGGCATGGAGGAGATGGAGCGGGGCAGCTGCAGCGACCACCACCTGGAGACTACGAGCACCAGTCTCGACGGTCTCCAGCATCTCCACGCTGTCGTCCGAGGGCGGCGAGACGCTGGACACGTGCACACTGTACGCCGACGGGCAGCACTTTGCCGCGCCCGACCGGCCCCTCACGCTGCCGCTGCCGCCCGTGCCGCCCAAGCCCAAGCACCGGTCGGCGCCATTCTCAGGCCTCTACCGCGACCTGCTCGTCAAGCGCAACTCGGAGAGCTCGCTGCTGGTGCGGCCCTCGGCTCCGGCGCCGCTCACGATCTCCGCCGCCCTCTCCTCGCACAACAACATGTCCAGGTTTCAGCAACAGCAGCAGCAGCTGTGTGCGGGACTGGCCTGGCACTGGACAGAGCAGCAACAACAGCACATGCAGCAACAGCATAAGCAGCAGCAGCAACAGCAACAACAACAGCAGCAGCAACAGCAGCAGCAGCAACAACAACAACAACAGCAGCAGCAGCAGCGGCAGCGGTTGTTGGCCGCCCTGCCTCCGCCACCGTCAGGAGAGACGAAAGCGGCGGCGGCGGAGAACGAGACGGAGACGGACATCGAGGCGGACGTGGACGGGGAGAGTGAGTCGTGGGGCGACACGCACGTCGCGTCGCAAACCAAGGCGAGCATCATCAGCGAGCTGAGCCTGCGGCTCAGCAGCTGTCGGGGCGCGGCGCCGGCGCCGGCCCACAGAGGCCAACGTCGCCCATCCAGGGGAGGAAGTCCCCCGGTCCGTCCAATAGGTACGGCGCAGGGGAAACGGATTCACCGCTCTCCCTGGTGCACCGCTCGCTGGGACGTGACGGCGATGGCAGTGATTCTCTCGCGGAGCGAGAGGAGCCTCGCGGGGCGGGCTCGATTTTGTTTGCGATTCTCCCCATCCTAATGGAATCCACGTTGATAGAGGGCGTCCCTGGAGGCGTCGTCGTGCGATATCACAGAATAATCGTGAGACAACGGTTCGAACTGCCCGGTTGAATGTTAGGGTGCATGTACGTATGTTGAACTTCTTTTGCACCGTACGTCACCGACCGTGCTCATCGGAGATGCGTGGGAAGGACAGCAATGTGTTTGCTAAAAAAGGACTGAGATTTATAGACCGACAGCGCGTAACAGAAGCATTCGAGATAATCGCAAGCCGAGATGTTGGCGAGCACCTGGGAGTGTGTCAAAATCTCGATGCTATGTCCGTTGCCAACGCCATGGCGGGCACGCGGGGGTTTAAAAGAAACTAATTTCCTAAAATCTTCACGCGACTCAGTGTTCATGTGTGGTTTAATTGAGAGCGGTGGCGCAGTGGTTAGTTCACTGCGCTACGAAAGCGGCGACCCGAGTTCGAATCCCGTTCACGACCAACATCAGTGACTATTATCTGAACGGGTTCTGGGCCTCCCCTAGGTCGACTCAGCCTCGAATTAGTACCTGGTGCAATGTGTAAATATCGTCATTAGGGAGACAAAGGCGGCCGGGTATGGTGCTGGCCACCCAGCCCTGTCACGTGCTGTTCCGGCCTTCACAGGTGCTCGCTAACAGCACTTGCCCCAACAATCTGTTAAAGGCTATATGGTGGGGATCTTTATAATTATAATTATTTTAAAAACCACGATGCCTTTATGGACAACATGTATATGTGTCATTGCAAAGAGCAGTGCTATATGTACGCATTAATGTTGTCAGTTTATGGTTTTGAAGCTGTGTGTACGAAGGATCGGAGTGCCTTCGTGTGCAATGTGAGAGTTGTTCGTCCGGCCGACTGGTCTGTGAGAAAACTCTTTTATTGGGGGTGTAACATTGCGTGGATTCGCCTATTTGCAAAAAAAAATCGATTCTTATTCTCGCTAAGCATGCGTCTGATTTGTGCGCATAAGGAATCATTATTCTCGATGTGCGCACCTCGTGTGTGGAATGGGCTCGTGTTCAGCCCCGCCTGCCACCTGATGCTGCTACATCATAAACTACGGATGGGAAAAAAACCCTAAATATTCTTGAATCGATTTACCACCCACAATTGGTGATATTTCATCAAATCCGAGAGGCAAATCATTAGAGGCTATTTATCATCGTTTGCTTTGAAAGTTTTCCCAAGCTGTGCGGTAATGTCTGCAAATGCTATTTTTTACTTGTTAATGTTCTCCAAAGTCACAGTAAACGGTACAGAGCGGGATATAAAAACACTTTGCTGTGCGGTAGTTCCGCAAATTTGGCAACCGCACAGCCAACGTTTCCAAACCGTCCCAATAGCACACACGTTAGAGTACCAACTCGAATGCAGTTATCCATCGTTTTCTTTTTACGCGTCAATTTTTTTAAATCGGGTCAGCGATTGGACAGAAATTGAAAAGTCGGTTGTGTAGGAGCGCTTCTCCCTTATTAAGAAAGGTAGACAAATGACAGTTCTTATTGCTTGTCATTCTATACCAAAGTAAAAAGAAAATCCACATTATTATGATTATACGAATGATTTCCACGTCTTTAAAGTGTACGAAATCTACACCCAATTTTTTTTAACTGCCCTGTGCTTTGACAGGCACGTGTTTGAAACAGACTCACCCATTGTGATTGCAGCATCTTGTTAAGAGTTTGGCGATAATATTAGAATGCCTTAGGGTGTGATACAGCACAGTGAGTAGACCCAGTAACTTGGTGAAGGTATTTCAAATTCATGGGAGGGTCCACTCGGGCCCAGTCTACGGCATCGTTGACATCATTGCCATCTTCATTACCATCAATCACCACCAGCAGCAGCAGCAGCATCAGCATAATTTTCATTATGGATAGAACGCGTTCATTAATTCACGAGGTCACAGTGAATGCATCACGTAAAATTGCGTCGGAATTAACCAGTGTGTTTATTTATTTGTGTACATTATGTAACGCGTTCACATCACCCACGCAGCCACCAGGGGTGCTACCATTCACTGTAATGTTTAAAGAATCTAATCGTGATCATAAGAATCAGCATTGGAGTTGGGGGAGGGGGGAGATGATTCTTTCCTTTCCAAATTTTTACGATTATATCCTTGGGGGAGCGGTCGGTATAAGGAGCCCCATGAAGGGCACGTCTGTCACCCGCCATGGAAACGTGGAATGTTTTACCAACGGCTTAAAACAGCAGAGGAGAGCACCAACACTCATTTGAACATCGGTTGGGCCTCTGTGACTTTGTCACTTTCGTCCGACCAGGACGTGAGGCTGCTTTGCATGAAATGACACAGGCAGGTTTCAGGTTAAATGTGACTCCCTCGCTGATCTCGTCAAGAAGAGCAAAAACCATCACGCGAACTCCCGTCATCCTGACCATCGAACAAAGACGGTCACTGCATCGCGCGCATTCGGATGCGCTTCTGCGGCCAATTGGAGCGCTCTTCCTTCAGACATTAGGAAGCCACTGGAGCATATGCACTTTTAAATCTAGATTGAAAACTCATTTCTTATTCTTTGTGTCTTTCGTCAAAGTCACCTACATGGTTCAAATAAAATAGCAAAAAACTACGACGTTTCGATCGATTTGTTATTTTCTTTGAACCATCTATGTGACTTTACCGAAAGACCCAAAGAATATGAATTCCTGCAGTCACGAAAGCTTTAAGTCAAAAGTTAAACATACATTACTGCTCTTCAATTCGAGTGAAAATCCACGGGGCAGAGAGGTGACTTGCACAAGTAAACTTTCATCAACATTTATTCCACTCTCCCTCACTCTCTAATGTGTACGGCTATCAGGCGTTGTTTGACGTTCTAGGTTTTCTTTGAGGCCTGCTTTAAATGCCTGAGCTCACCAGACCTAGAAAGCTAAAACAAGGATTGCGCCTGGAAAGTGCCTTAGTGGATGGGTGACCACCGTACCTCACGACAGGATGCCAGGCAATCTGCGGGGTAGCCTGGTGCATTGTGGGCAGCATTGAGCAGCGAAATGCACTGTTGTGCTGTGCTTCTATCCGCTCACGTCTACTCTCCGTGCCCTCACCATAAACGACTACGCTCCCCGCCTTCACCAAGTATCACCGATGAGCGTGGTGAAGTACGGTAAAAAAAAAACCCCGTGACGCGCGTGGACCGAGGACACCCTTAGCCACCCAGCAGAAGTGAAATTCCAAGAATTCAATCATTTGCGCATACACTTCTCTTGAATTCGTGGAAGGCTTGGAATCGAGATCCCATGGAGACTAGGCCGAGCTTGGCTTCGCGTGGCTCGAGGAAGTGCCGGAGGGCGCTGTCTCCGGACGACGCCGTCCACTCCCGCGCGTCCACGTTCACTCCCCCGCCTCGTTCGCCTCGTCCCATAATCCAGCAAGCGGCGGCCGAATTTATAAACGCGTGCGCAGACGGAGCCGTTCCTCTTCATTTCATGCTTCTGTCGTTCGATGTCACCTATCGCTTAAAGTCGCTTTTACGTGTTCTTATTATTTTACGTGCCATACTGTACTGTGTTTCATTCGTGCATTGCGTATTTTTTTAATTGTTTTTTTTATCTGTGCGTTGCGTGTTCCTTCTTTGCGAGTGAGCGGCAGCGTGGAGGTGTCGATTAATGTGCCTTTATTTCTGCTTTTCCATGCACGCACCTCATGCCCACTCTGTGTGCTCGGTCAAGTGAGAGCCAGGTGGGTGATGAGGGAAGAACGCACCCCCGGATGTGCCGCTTCCCACTGCCATAGGCATCAAAGCTGACCCCCGCGTGTGCCCATGGTTGGCCTATTAAAGTGCTCGTTAGAGTACAAAGGAGGTGGTGGTGGTGGCGGTAGTTTAAGTGGTGATGGTGGTAGTGGTGGCGCGGTTAATTGTGAAAGGGGGTGGTGGTCACAGGTGGAAGAGTACGCAAAGGCGGGAGGAGGTTACGCACGGCACGTTAACTGTGAAGCTGTTTGGGCGTCAGATACGAGTCCCACCAGGTGACCGGCATAACCGCGGCACTGCGGGAATGGTCGCCCATTCGGCAAACACGCGAACGTGAAAGAGACAACGTCCCCACACGCTGCAGCCGCCACAGAAACTCGGCTCTGGTTTTACACGTTTGCCGTGTAAAATCGCGAGCGTGACGATGCGTAACCTCCCATGCTAGAGGCGCCTTCAGATGCCTGTGGTCGGTTGCATGAAACTAAAGTGAAAAATCGTGTAGATCCCTCTCCGAATCTGAATTATAAAGGTAGATTATCACTTAGGGTGGTTTATGCAACTGGCCTCAAAACACCTCCTGGTTAAGGAGCTAAATTCACGTCACATTTTTGGTGAATTTGAGCCGATGTCTTCATTGTCAACGATGGGACAATTTCAGCAAGGAGATGCATTTCCTTCGCCGCTTTTGCAAAATGTGAATGTCGCCCTGGGGGTGGCTGGGTGGGTCAGGGGTCAAGGCACTGAGCTGGCACTGCTGAGATCATGGGTTCAAATGAAGATTGTAACCACCGGTGAATAAACCGGGTTCTCAAATATAGCGAGTCAATGATCTCAGCCCAGTGACTATTGGACGGAAAAACGTTCCGCATTAAGTCTTGCTCTGCACTGAATTTGGCGATATTACAGCGCTGAGAATTAAAATATCAGTTTCCCTTGTCACGAGACGAACATTACTCTCACGTGTGGCAAAAGCAGGTGGAAAAGTGCTGCCCCCTACTTGATGGATCTGAGATCACTTGATGAAGGGGTGGGTCTTGATGAAGGGGTGGGTCTGTGAACTGTGCTTCCGTAGGCCATTTTACAACGTGGAGGGTTGCACTTCCCTGCAAGAGATTCGAAATTATTATTCATCCCACCGGATGGCACTTAGAACACAATGGGGATAAAATTGGATTAAGAGACAAAATATATAAAAATTGTGACTCTGGCTCCGAGTTGCAGTTGCACTCCAATAACTCTGAAGGAGACGGTAAGCACTGTGTCGTAGTTTTGAGGCCAGCAAATGGTACCTCGCTGTATTCATGTTGCCAGGAGCACTAGCCTTATTATTGAATGATGCAGAGGAGCTATTACAATACACTGAGTGCTTGGCTTGTGCTTAGGTGTGGGACACTGTTTTTGTTTGCTTGCCGAGTTGTCTATCCAAAGCCCAGCTTGGAATTGGATGCTGTGTAAATGTAACCACCATGTGACCCATTATCATCACCGTAACGGAGCCAATATACAGTGCCGGGGGGAGTGGGCAGTGCTGCATCTCAGCTGTGTTGCCCTGGCAACAGGCATCAATCGAATACTGGTCCCCCTGCATGTCACGGCAAAAGCATCGAATGTAAACTTCATAACGTGCAAGAGAAAACAAAAACAGGAAACCCACAGTGTGCTCCAATCGAGCGTTGAACATCTCCGGTGTTTTTCGGGTTGTACATGCTCCATGTTGTCCAGCACAATGGCCGACATTTCGCTCCTCGTGCTGGGAGCTTCTTCGGGAACTGAACGGTGAAGCTCGCGATCTCCCTCGATTGAAATGAAGCTGCCGGCTGCCGGCGGTGTTGTTTGATGCAGGCCGGCCGTTGTTCGATCCGAGTTTGATTGCTAGCCTCCGTTTTAGTTCCCGATGAGGCTCCGTTCATGTCACGGTGCCACGTCGGTAATTGCGCCAAAACAACATGTAGCTGTACAACCCAAGATCGTGTCGAACGGCTACACAGGGCAAACTGTGAACACCTACGCAGTGGAGTTTTGCCTTCAATCGAAATTATTCGTTTTGCCACCGTGTTTTACCTGAACCCCAGGCGTGCAGCTGGGGAAAGTGAGGAGCCGCAGCGACCGAGGCCGCCGACCCCGGCTCTGAACCCGGCGGGCGCCGGCGCCGTGGATCGCCCGTCCCTGCGCCGCGTCCTCCGCTGCAACCCGCCGCGGGCGCTGCCGGGCTGCGACGGCGGCGCCCGCTCCGACACGGGGCCCCAGCGCGGCGGCGGCAGCGGCACCATCGCGACCGCGTCCTCCTTCCCCAACATCGCCACCATCTCCTCCTCCGGCGCCACGCCCATCAGCCCCATCAAGGAGCTTCGCTTCTCGCTGCGCTCGCCGGCCAAGACGTCGTACGGTGGCTCCAGGCGGCCGCACCAGCTGCCGCTGGCGGGCGCCGCGGACAGCGTGCCAGTCGCCTCTTCCTACCCCGACCTGTCGCCGTCGGCGAGCCCGTTGCGCGAGTCGGCGTTCCCCTTCCACCAGGCGGACCCGCCCTACGGCGACTCGAGGCGCAGCGCCGTCTCCCCGTCGGCGTCCTCGCCCAGCATCTTGCAGACCGTGGGCTTCACCCCGCCCAGCCCCTCGCAGCCCTACCCGCCGCCGCCGCCTCCGCCACACGAACTGCCCGACAGCGGCGGCTACTGCGACGTCAGACGGTCGTCCGCCACCACCTTCTTCCCCGCGCCCCCCATGTCCCCGACGCCGGCGCTCGCCCAGCTCTCGGTGCTCTGCCCGCTGAGCCCGCGCTCGCGGGAGAACCGGCTCGCCGGCGTCGGCGGTACCGGCGGCGGAGCGGGCAGCATGCGCAGCCGCTCGGTGTCACCGTGCCCCGGGCGGTCGCCGTACCGCGCCCTCGCCACGCGCGACCCCAGCCTTTCACCACGGCACTCGCCCTACCGTACGCCTAGCCCTTCGCGGGTGCCCTCCGCGCGCCGGCCGCTCTCGCCCGGCACGCCGCTGCAGGACGCCGCCCTCATGCCCTCCTGGCCGCCCCTGCCCTCGGACAGGCCATTCACGCGCAAGCCCCTGCACCTGTGGACCAAGTACGATGTCGGGGACTGGCTCGAGAGCCTCAACCTGGCCGAGCACCGCGAGAGCTTCCTCGACAACGAGATCGACGGCACCCACCTGCCCGCCCTGCAGAAGGAGGACCTCCTGGAGCTCGGGGTCACTCGGGTCGGCCACCGCATGAACATCGAGCGCGCCCTCCGGATTCTGCTGGACAGATAACCCGGGGCGAGGGGGGTGGCAGCGTGGCCCGTCTCGCGCGGTTTTGTTGAGAAACGTCGGCCTTGGCTCGAGCCTGTGATCGGCCATCCAAGCAATAACGACGGATTGACGGAGCGGAAACTTCGTGCCCGTCGCCGCAGCGCGTCGCGTCGCCCGAGCACATTTGGACGGGGACGGATCCTCGACGAAGGCCGGAGGAGACGGCGGAGCTGGCAGAGCTGGCGTGCCGAAGCGGGGATCAGCCGTGAAGATTCCTGCGAGGGCGAGTGTAAGGGGTGCTCACGTAGGACAGGCTTCGGAAATGCGGCACGGCGCAATGCGTCTGAATGGGTTTCCAAGAGAGCCTTGGATGTTCGGCTTGGGCTTGAAGACGTTGCTTTAAATATAAATTGCGTTTGAAATCGCAAATAATATCGACGTGGGGAATTTCGATGGGAACTTGTCGTTATTTTGATCTGCTGCTAATAACGGAGAAGATGCTTAAGGAAATCGCCGCCAGGATGGACGACTTTGTGGGGGAAGTGGGGGGTTCCCCCCTCCCCCCCCCGCTTAATTATAAGTTATCTGAATGAAAGATCAACTTCGATATGAAGACTCTCATTTGTTACGGTAATTATTGTACGGACCTGCACTGTCGCGGCAGGTTTGGGGTTCCCATTTAGAATGCACGCGCGGGCACACGCGCACACGCGCACACGCGACGCAAGTTTCGGACACCTTTCGATCCGAGCATTTTCAGGGTCACCCGCGCGGGAGTGACGACTCGCCTACATTGCAGGCGCTGCAGTCCCACCTATCCAACCCCCACCCCTCTAACCCTCTGTGACAAACGCAGCCCACAGCTTCATGCCAATGCCAATCTCAATAGGGCTACAACTGAAAACAAGAGAGGACCGGCATAAGCTTAACTGTACGCTTTCTTTTTTAAATGTTTACGGTTATTTTTTTGAAAATAAACCACAGCAACAAAAATGAGATTATTGAATAAGTCAACGACAAGCAGATATAAATCCAAAACGAGCCGTCCACTGGGGTCCCTGAGTGTGAACTCGCTGGCGCATCGTGCTGTTTGTTTGCTGTTGTTGTTGTTGTGTTGAGACGGCTCGTGGACGTTTGTCATATTGATCACAGCAGGTGCTCGCTTGCGTCCGGTGAAGGGAAAGGGCAAGCGTTGAGATGCGACGATGAAACTGCGGCGCTCGGATCGGATCGCGGTTTGGACGAAAAAAACAACGCTTTCCGCAGACGGCAGGTCGGCGGCCATGCCACATTTATACGAAAGCTATCAAATCAAACTCAAAGTCGAACGCAGTCGAAATGATGTGAGAGAGCGAGAGAAATAAAAAAAAATCTCCCAATTAACACGGCTAAAAAAAGGACTCTTGCACATCTGCTGCGATGGTGGTGTGAAAGGCACAGGGATTCGGTCGCGAAAAGTGTCACTTTCGGGAGCGCTCTTCGGAACAGGGTGTCGATTATCGAATGCCGAGTCTGCTCCCAGCGAGAGAGAGAGAATATAAATATAACTGCGTTAATCAATCCCATTCAACGTAAAGTCAAATCGACAAGCATTCACGGCGGAGTGCGGCGGTGTGCGGCGGTGGGGTTGGAATTGTTTTCGTTCGTTTGTTCATTATCAAGAGTGTGCAAAACGTGGTTGTGCCCGTCCGGATTGATATGGCAGCTATTGACAGGGCGGAGTGGCAGCGCCCAACGCGGCGCCTCGCATTTAAAGCGACTGCGCCCCATCGCAAGCCTCGTTGGCGCGGCATTCTTAGGGCGCCGGCGCGGGCGGGCGGGCAGGCAGTTGCCAAACGTGCCGAGCCGATGTGATAGTACAGGCTCCTGTCAGCCGACAATTTAGGCGAGGGGTAAACGGGTTGGATAAAGGCGCAGCCGTCCGCGTTAGAAGCACTGCTCCAAATTTGATTCCCCCCCCCCGCCACACACACACACCTGTCCGTCGTGACGCGGTTACCGCGCGGCCCGTCCACGTTCAAACGTCCGCGCGCCGCCGCCTCGTTTGTGCGCGTGGGCACGCGCCTCATTTTGAGCGCCGACACGTAAAAAAATAAAAACCCCTCCTTTTGGAGGCCGTCAGCATTCGAGTCGATTTTAAACGGTTTCGTACTCGCAAACGTCACGCGGCATGTTGATCATGTGCGGCCCGGTGGCAGCGCTGCGGAGGGGCAGCGCACGTAAGATAAGGGACTTATCTTAAGACGCATTGAACGGCTTTTTTTGTTGTTTCCTCTTGATGTTGAGCATCAATCTGTATAAAGCCCTTGGAAATTTTAATTATCTTTGCTGGAAGTGGGGGGAAGGCCGGGGGCGGGGGGCGCGGATACAGGACCAACTTCGTTTGAAACAAAGAGGGGGATATGTCGATGAAGGTTTGGCCCTAAAAGCTATAATAAGAGTGTCAAATGTTGCGTATTAATATTATCAGCACAAATGTACCATGGATTTTATATGCTTATATTTTCACTATTATCGTCGTCGTCGTCGTCATCATCATATTTTATTGTGATTCTATTTTCTTTGGGAATAGTCCAGAGTGTGATTATCCGATCGTTATTTCGGAACATTTTATGAAGTGGAATAACTCTACGGTGCATTAATGCATGCAAGTGGAGACAATGGAGAAATTGGGGTTCATTTGAAAGTAGTATCAAGAAATACGAAACATCTCTGGATTCTACCCCCAGCCCACAGTACTAGCTGTGGTAGCATCTGAAACCTGTATTTGGGTTCTGCACTGGCCTAGTCATTGCATTGAACCACCTAATCGGCAATGGGTCAGGACACGCAACTGCAGACCGTAGGGGTGGAATGATACATTAAAAAAATGAAATCGCAGTGAATAGCAAATGAAATCGATGCAGCGGCGACGCAAGTCAATTCTCAAACCCAAGATTCTACGCATTTATCGCGTGTGAGATTCAATATTGAAGGAGTGAATAATTCCACTCCTACCACATTACCTAATTTCCCGTTATCCGACGTTGCTCGTGCAGGATTTTTGTCCTTGTAGAGGACGGGACGGGGGAAGTTTTTATTTACGTGTGACATATCTGCCCAGACTAACCCTTCCAGGAAGAGGCCTGGCACTTTGTTGAATTAAAACCGTCACTGGTTCATACTTTGTCATCAGTGTTTACTCAATATTATTGGGGCTACAGAACTTGTTTGTTTCATGTACCTCTCCTTTTTATTTAAATATTAGATATATTACTGAACCACTGACCACAACAAAATACATTCCACACACGTGTTTGTTTTTTTACCGATATTATTTATTTTCAAAGTAGATTTTTTTTTGACAGTCTCTGGAAGTGTATTTCTCATGGACTGTGGCGGTTTCGCATGCCTTGAACCTGGCCACTCGTTAAGACTGTTTCATCGTTGTAAAGACACAAGCCCGTTGGCTACGATGTGTGGCGCACGTCGCGATCACCCTTGCGTTTGGTGTGGCCCGAAAGGAACGACCAGCTCCTCTCCAGCGCAACACAAACGGTCGACCCGCTGTGCTTCAAGGGCATCAGCCATGGCTGTTACTGGTGTTCCCCACCGCCATCACAGAAAAGCGGCCTCTGTCGCTCATTGTCAGCTGTCGGGAACAGACGCGTGTTCTCTTCTGTTCCGTCAATCCCGACAGATTTTCCTCGCTGCACCCGAGACCACTGACAAAGGGGGCCTTGAAGTCTGCGGAGCACAGCTACAGCCATGGGCTGAACAAGTGTCACCACTCGGAACACCAAGGGTGGCTTATATTGCTAGCTTTATATTTGGGTAACCATACGTTGTTTTACATATTTACGTATTTCGAGTTTTTTTTTTTAAACAGAAGCTATTGTAGATGACACAACCAGGGTTGTAGGCACATATCAATAGATTAAATGTGTGCGAACTGATGTGATGTTTGGCAGCTGAAAAAAAAACCCCGCCCCGTATGTTTGATACTGTGTCTGGGTTTACCTTCACATTTGTAAAATGTACTATCCTTCTTTTCAGTGTCCAGTGGGACGGGAACACCTCTTTTTCTGATGATGAGAATTAGAAATACTGCACGGCCGGTACTTTGACATCAAAGCTGTACATTTGTAAATATGCGGAGAGCCAAAAGGCATGCCATGTGTGTTTGGGTTTTGAATCTGCCCGTGCAGTGAATTGAAATGTCTCATCATCAATGCAAAGGCTTTTTTTTCCTTTTCCCTGCACAAGCAGGTTGTTACGGAATCAATTATCAGAATTTTTGCGTCATCATACGAATATAGTATTATAGGATTTAATCACGGAAAGTAACTATCATTGGTGAACTTCTGTAAAGTGTACAGGTACATTATATTTTATATTTTGTCACAATTGATGCAATTAACCTTTTAAAAAACTATATTCACACAAATAGGACGTGTTATTTTTCTCTTCACTGGTGAATGTATCGAATTAATGTGTACATATTAAGGTTGGAATTAGAAAACATTTATGTTCTTGTCGTTTGGTGGTATACGGTACCACCGTTTCAGTCGGTGCAGGGGGCGCTCCTGGGATTTACGATGGGGTCGCACGCTGCACACTTACGGTCCTGGGTTCGTTTCAAGATTCCCTTGGAACAATCAGGGTCTCCAGAGGGGAGGGGGGTAGATTGGAGAATAAAAGATGGCAATGGCAAATATCTCATTTCGCTTCATGAATGTTAATCCTTTCCAATGCAAAAAAAAAGTCAAAACAAGTTCACAATCCGGGAAACATTTTCTATCAACCTTCACATTTATGGGGACTGTATTTTATTGTTTACCTGAGGATTGGAGTTGTTTTGCAAAACAGGAAAACCTGCATATGGTACCGTGTATCCCAATATTGCAGAGTTATTTAATGGGCAATTATGCTTACGTTGATGTAACAGACCGGACCGCTTTGCCGGTCAATAACCACCTAACCACAATGCACTCCTCCTTCCTGTACACCACCATTGGGAAAACTCCCACCATCAGTTCACATTTTTCCTTCTGGTTTTGTGGTCCACAGAGATATTTGCTGCTGTAAGGTTGAGTCAAACAAACTTTACAACTGCGTAGGATTTCGCGGTTGTGCCGTGTACAGCCCGCCAGTGTGTTTTCGGGTTGTGCCGCACGTGTTGTTGGCATGATGTCCGACGTTTCACTCCGCGTGCTCCGTGCTGCTTCAGGAACTGGATACTCAGCTATTGACTTCTTGAAGAAGCTCGCAGCACTCCCAGTGACACGTTGGGCAACACGCTGAACAACGACACGGTACAACCGACAAACACATCGGAGGACCTCACTTTTACATTCTCCATCCGCCCACAATTGCCTCAAAATGGAAACTATCATGTGCTGCCATGGCCAGTCCAGGGGCAGCATGTCGTTGTCCAAGTGCTGGAGTTTTTTTTTCTTCCACCGGAGTGATTAAAACTCGCGTGATGTGCAGTGGGAATGAAGGGTGGATACAAAGGCCACCCTGGCGTTCATTTATTTTGCATCGGCTCCCTTACAGAGGGCCCACCGCACAGAGTTCACTGGAGTTCTGAGTGGCGATTGTCTCATTTATTATGGAGACATCTCCTGGGGATGTTCTCTTTTTGTGTTACTCACGTTGTGGTCCAGGTATGTTTCATCTAATATATCTTGCCTTTTTTATCCTGCTAGGAGTTGGAATTTTAAATGTTTCTTCCCCTGTACTATCACTCACTGCTCATAGTTTTCGTTGAAATAAAAGGAGGCTACATTTAAACATCAATTGTTGGCGACGTTTGTTTTTGTACGGCAACAGGCGTTGTCAAATATGTCACGTGTCATGATCATCACGTGACCCACGTGGCCATAACATACAGCACAATATATTGTCTTCATTAAGCATCATGCTTGAAATTACAACAGGAGGAGGAACACAGATTAGAGAACATAAGCAAGTTAGAGACATCATTTTTACTTAAGTGTGTTGGAGTAGAACCCATCGCTTAAAGGGGATGCTGCCCGGTGTTGGCAACTAATGGCAGGGTAGCAACCGATGTTGGAAACAAGCCCTAGAGGACATTCACTGCAGAGATATCTCGTGTGCAAGGTGTTATGCGGATTGTTGCAATGCAAGACCATGAGACTGCCACTGCTTGGAGGTCTCCATCCGGATGATGATGTTGATGATGCAATGCATCCACGTCTCGAAACGCTGCAGAAATAGGTGGCATGTGCATATTGAGAAGGGGGAATTAGGCAAAAGTATGGTGATGGGTGTGACTGAATATGCTTAATAGGGAAGGGAAAATCAATTATAGGCAGAGGATCTGGAGTCTATTGCTTACAAGCATACGGTGGATAACACATTTTGGAAACTCTAAAACCTACTAGGCTTATTGAGGTGTCATATCACGGCGTAGCAAATGGATTCTTGAAACCATCTGTGCAGAGCTTTTAAGCGTTATCTCCTCGCATGCGTGGGTTTTCTCCAGTTACTCCAGGGTTCCTCCCACATGCAAGAGACCTCCCGTTACACAGTGGTTGACCGGAGGCATTCAGAAGAAGGCCTTGGTACTGGAGTGGAGATCCCATAATAAGTCTTAGAGGGGAAAGCGGTGGGCAGTGGCGAGTCCATGGAAGATGGAAAAATTAAAATTGGCGCGAGTGCTCTCGGAGTTGAGCCTGGTGTAAGATTTCAGCCCATGGATGTTGGTGCAACAGGTGCGTGGTTTTGTTTGCGGGTGCTCGTGATTAAGCCTGCCAATGGCACTCTGGATCATCTGGAGTTTTTGACTCCCGTAAGAAGATTATTTGAACACATGACTTGTCTCGCAGAACATCTAAGAAGGCAGAAGGAACAGCTCTTGCTCGTGCAGAATTAAATCTTTCACGTCACCAAGGTAAGAACACCCGTCATATACAAACTGCATATGGGTTGCTGTGGAGAATAACGTTCAAATTATCAAGATTAACACATGTACGGTGAGAAAGAAGCTCAAAATACATATACAGTAGACTCGATTATCCACGCTAATGACGGGGAGGACGGCCGTGGATAATTCAAAGTTGTGGATAATCCAAAAATATAACCATTTTCCTCGGATCTCTATGCCAAAAACCACTAACATAGGTATAAATGGTGTTTAAGTTAAGAAAATGTAGTTAATGAACAAAACTAAAATGTGTAAGGAATAATCGACCAATCAATGTGCGTGCTCAGTGAAAACGACACTTTCCTGCTCCCGCGTAGAAGACTCTGCCCACTAATTGGACAGCAGAGCCACGCCAATCAACATCAAACTCCGCCCACTGTTGTAAAGATATGGCAACTACTGTACTGTAGGGGCGATCACGTGGATTTCGGATATATTTGCTCGGTTTTAAACACGTGACTTGTAGTAAACATGTCCAATAATAATAATAATGTTAAACTGCTTTTAGATTATTAATTTCGGCTTAAGGGAAAATCAATAAGTTATTAGTTTATGTTAATCTCGGGTGCACGGTTAATCTGCAAATCGGATAGATCACACGCGGATAATCGAATCTACTGTAAATATAACTCAGGAGACCTGGACACGAGTTCCGGATTAAGCTAGTGCAGGGCCTGTAGCATATGTTATAAAGGGGCTCTAAATAAAATAAAAACACAAATATTAAAACACACATTTTTTTACTTGCACAGTAAAGTAATTGTATTTTTTTCATTTGCTATACAGCCAGATAATACGACAAATCGCGAACCTTAAACACCCAGTCGTTCGTAAAAAAACAAGGCAGTATAGTACTATAGTAATAGAGCAAGTGCAGAATCACTGAACCGGAATTAATAGCTTGAAAGTGCGTAGCATATGCTACTTTTGCTACTCAGATAATCCGGCACTGCTTGCAAGTTACCTGGGTCACCAAAATCACAAAAGAAAAACAAAGTCCGCATAAAAGCTCACAAGCGGAACTCCGTTTTGTCTCCATATGCACACACACGTTAAAAACTATCACTGTTCATCTGCCTTACATACTAATAATCCAGCAACGTGGTGAGTTTTACTGGGCTTTGCAATGGCTCTTGAATGGGACAGCACCCTCTAGTGGTGAGATTACATCTGTATTTTAGAGACTGGCGTTCCTCGATGGCTTGCTTGACATCTGGAGTGGTTCGCTTTAACCGGTATTAAAGTAACGCATCTGGAGACAATTTAGTATTAAGGTGTTTATGGAACCATCCGCGTGTTTTCGCAGGGGTCACGTAAAATATATTAGTTTCATGGTCAAGTGCACGTAAGTGCCCCCTACCCCCCATGTATGGGAATATACAACAATCAGAACCATACTCTTTGGTTCTTTCGGTAAAGTCACGTAGTTAGAAATAAAATAAATGTGATTAGTTTTTATTTTATTTCTAACTACGTGACTTTACCGAAAGAACCAAAGAGTATGGATTCCTGCAGTCACGAAAGCTTCAAATCAATCAGAACCAATTTAACACGGAGGCTTTCGCGACCAACCTTCTATAATCACCCAGGAATCATATTCTTAGGTTTTTTCGGTAAAGTCACGTAGGTAAAAAAGTTAAATCACCCAGGAATGTCCTTAACGCTCGTGACGTCACTCCACATCGACCAGCCCCCCTCATTAATATTCATGAGCAGGTGACATCCTCCAAATGCACACCCCCACCCCCCCTCATTAATAATCATGAGTGGGTGAAATCACTCAATATGGAGTATTCCCCCCTTCATTAATAATCATGAGCAAGTGACGTCCTCCACATGGACACCCCCGCCATTATTATTAGCTACTACAATGAGCCAAGGATGTCTGTGTGTAACGCTCGTGACGTCACTCCACGTCGACCAGCCCCCCTCATTAATAATCATGAGCAGGTGACGTCACTCCACATGGAGCACCCTCCCCCCTCATTAATAATCATGAGAAGGTGACGTCACTCCACATCGAACAGCCCCCCTCATTAATAATCACGGGCGGTTTCTTCATTAGGGCGATTGGGCGACGCACCACCAATGTCATTCAACCACAGAGTCACGCTAGCCGTCACTGTGCCTCTGGATATAGTCCAATCAGCGTCATGCTACGTTCTGTGGAGTACCGCCTCTTTTTGGGCGATTTCCCTCCAGCTGAGAATCGCCCCGAGTGGCCCCATAGACTTACATTCAAAGATGTTTTTTTTCGACCGGGGGGCGCTCCAATGCATTCTCTATGGCTTCCGGGAGGGCTCGCCCTAACGTGCTTACGTCATCATACGTGCTTACGTCATCATACGTAAGCACGTTTCATCCAACAATATAATTTGTCGCCACCTAGTGGTTTGTTTTAATAGTGAGTATAGAAACAAACAAGATGTATTGTAAGAGTTACTTTATTTTTCATTAATATTAAAGAAGTGAAGTTGCCTTTACATGCTTAAGCTGTTAATTTATCCATTGCATGGGTGGACCTTATCCTTATCAATCATCAAGACATTTGCCCCCCCTGAGAGATTTTGCAGGAGCCGCCACTGTTAATAATCATGAACAGGTTACGTCCTCCACATGGACCCCCCCCCCTTCATTAATAATAATTAGCGGGTGACGTCACTTCAAATGGGGGGGGGGCGAGGCGCCTCCTCCCCCCTCCTCGGCATCAGCTCACAACCCTCACTACGAAGGCAGAACCCTCACGTCACGTGATCTCCGTCACGCTGTTGAGACATCAGAGTAAAAAGGACGTCATGATGAACAAGGGATTATAACCTTTAAATGAAATAAGTCTGTGTCACCGCGCCCTTACACATTGCACACGAATTGAGGCAATGGATATATCACGTCGCGCTCTGCCTTTCGCTTGCAAGTTTCAGATATACTGCAATACACCCGTCGTTGGACGGGCAAAATGCTAGTCCATAATATCGGGGTTTTTTTGGTTGTAGATATTGTGGATTTGCTCTCCAACACACCGGTGTTGCTGTACTAGCAACGAATTGGCATGTTCTGTTTCCGTGACAAATCTTACTAATTGGCTGTGTCGGGTGGTGGTTGGTTTAACGACACATTCATATTTACGCGATCTAACCCACTATTATGGAATCAGAACCAGGGTAAAGGCCACTTTAGAGAGGTGAGCTTTCAAATGCACACTTAAAAACACATCCTGATTGACTCATGAGCAAAGCGTTGTTCCACAGCTTGGTAGCTACACTGGCAGAAGCCCGATTAACCAAGGTGATTAAGCCTTGACCTCGGAGAACTCAGAAGAAGGCAATCCAGAGATCTCGGGGGCCTCGTTGGCATCTAGAGATGGATCAGTTCCTGTCAATATTGCAGGAAGGCCAATTCCCCGAAAACGCCTATCATACTGGGTGACCCAGATGTATTGTGACCCCAATTAATTGATACTCTTAGGTTTTTTCGGTAAAGTCATGTAGGTAAAAAATAAATAATAAAAAGAGGGCTCTTGTGTTGCGCCCGAAACGTCGTGATTTATTATTTTATTTCTATTATTTATTTTATTATTATGTTTACCTACGTGACTTTACCGAAAAAACCTAAGAGTATGAATCTTGCAGTCACGAAAGCTTCAAATCCACAATTAATTGACCCACCGCAATATTATTTTCCTTTGCATTTTCATTTCTATTTTAAAATGTTTTCGATAATTAAATGGCGGTCACAAGACATATTGACCACATTTTAATCCAGCGTTCTTAACAAATGTGTTTTTTTGTACTTGTGCACCACTACCAACGCAACGCCAAATAAATTGTGAATTAAGTAACACAGCGCTGTAATCCTTTGTAAAACGACGAGTCTGCAGCAACGTTGGTGATAGAGCTTCGCTTTTCGCGTAGTACACTTTGACCACCGCAGGCTTCCGTCACACGTGGCGCCCAGTAAGGCAATGCGCGCACCGCTTATCCGCGCTGGGGAATGTAAACGACTGTGCTTATGCCGAGTGGGAATTGTAATCATGATTGGTTCGACTGACAGAGGTACAGTTAGATATAATCCCATTGGGACCGAGTCTCGCCTCTCATCATTGGGATATTTAAACACTGGGTGCTATCGTGATTATCAACGTTGAGAGATACAAAAAATGCGTGACGAGTAGACCTATCAGGACGAAAAAACGGAATCGCATGAGCATCCTTTACCTATTCTTTGGGTCTTTCGGGGGCATTTAAACACGTGTCTTATTGTGTAGGTGTGAGGAATTGTAAGCGTTATGTGACGAGGCGATGCTTATCATAACTGGCGAGCTTAAAACACGCGGGGAGTAGTGCAGCACGTACGAGTGTCTCAGATCAATATTCACAATTTCAGATCGGCATTGGGATATTTAAAGCACGTGGTCAAGCGCCTCGCTCATCAGCGCTGGGAAATACAAACGCGTGTGGGGAGCCCACGCTTATCCGCATTGCGAAATCCAAACGGGCCGTGACGAGCCCGCGCTTATCCGCATTACGAAATACAAACGCGCGTGACGAGCCCACGCTTATCCGCATTGCGAAATACAAACGCACTTGAGGAGCCCACGCTTATCCGCATTGCGAAATCCAAACGCACTTGAGGAGCCCACGCTTATCCGCATTGCGAAATACAAACGCACTTGAGCCCACGCTTATCCGCGTTGCGAAATCCAAACGCGCGTGCCGAGCCCACGCTTATCCGCATTGCGAAATCCAAACGCGTGTGACGACCCCACGCTTATCAGCATTACGAAATCCAAACGCGTGCCGAGCCCACGCTTATCCGCATTGCGAAATCCAAACGCGTGTGACGACCCCACGCTTATCAGCATTACGAAATCCAAACGCGTGCCGAGCCCACGCTTATCCGCATTGCGAAATCCAAACGCGTGTGAAGACCCCACGCTTATCAGCATTACGAAATCCAAACGCGTGCCGAGCCCACGCTTATCCGCATTGCGAAATCCAAACGCGTGTGACGACCCCACGCTTATCCGCATTGCGAAATCCAAACGCGTGCCGAGCCCACGCTTATCCGCATTGCGAAATCCAAACACGTGGCGCCGTGAGTTTTGGGTCCCACCCCATCTGCCTCGTGTTTGGCCCCTCGCGTCTCGCGGCCACCACCGCCACTGCCGCCTCCTCCTCCTTCTTCTTCGCTCTCGGCTCCCCTCACACGTGAGCCAGGGCCGAAGATGAGCAGCCAGATCACCTGCCTCGCCTGGGTGAGGCGAGGGGTCGCCAAAGAAACGCCGGACAAGGTGAGAGATCGGATGCGTGCGGCACCTACACGTGGCTTGCTCCACGTGGCTTGTCCCAGTGTCTCCTCAGTCTCGTCCCCGTGTCCCAGTCTCCTCCATGTGTCTCCTTTAGTCTCGTCACTTCAGTTTCCCATGTCCCTATGTCTTCAAAGTCGTGTCCCTGTGTCTCAGTATTGTCTCTGTCTCTCTGCGTCTCCTCAGTCTTGTATCTGTGTCTCCCATGTCTCTGTGTCAAGTTTCGGATTCTCCGGTTTCCTCCCATAGACAAAATATATATTTTAAAAATGTAGCCAATAATAACCGACCACCAAAATGCTGAAAAAGTTCAGTTCAAATGATTCAATTGGGATTACACGTAGCAACATTGCCCCCTACTGCGAAAACTTTCAGGAACCTCCTAAAAAGGAGATTTAACCAAGCACCTGCAATTAGTACGGTTGGCTACGTACGGTGCGAAAAAAGTTCAACATACACGTCCATACATAGTTGTTACGTGACAAACAACAATCTCATCGAAGTGTGTGGAAAGTGCGCCCCCTGTTGTGTAAAGATAACTTAATTCACCATCATTGTGTTTTATGCCACTGATCATAGAATCCTGCGGCTCTTCTCAATATTGACCCTCGGGTCTCCCTCCAAACCTTGGCTCAATATGTCCAACTCGCTCCACACCCGGACTTCTGGTCCCCTTAAACTTGCTCCTTTTTAAATAAAACAAATAAAAAAAATTCTTCTCGTCTGGTTATCCCCTTGTGTACGTTTTTCCTTTCTAGAGCTGAGCTCTCCAATTATTTAACCAATGGATTACTTTTTGATTTAAAGCTTTCGTGAATGCAGGGATTCATATTCTTGGTTCTTTCGGTAAAGTCACGTAGAAGGGAAATAATGAAATAATAAAAATATAAAACAATAACAATTCTCACAACGTTTCGACTGCAACACAAGCAATCATCATCAGGTGTGAAATCCACAGAAAGATTACGTGACGAATTGGATAACAACAATGTTTAGGGAGAATGTTGCCACGTGTGTTGCTGGACGGGAGGTGATGGGCATGGCTTGGTGACATCGCCAACTGCGTCACATTGGGGGGGGGGGGGGTTCCTGCCTTCGGAAAGAAAGATGTCTGGGTGACCGACAATTTATAAGAGTAGAGAAATGTGCTGAAAAAAAGTAATAATTTGCAATTTTCAATTGATCTATCGACAAAATCATCATCCCATCTGTACTTTTTTTTACAGACCCTCACGCCTCCTTGCTGCTATAGTTCAATCTGCCTCACTTAACCTTGCCTCGTCTGCACTGTGACATCTCTCGCAAGGTGGAGCTTAACCCCAACGAACTCAAAAGTCTCATTGAAGATGCACGCGAGAAAGCCAAGTAAGCCGAGCTGCCATGGTTACAGGAATAATAGGGCTGCCATCCAGCGTTGGATAAAGAATGGCTACTGTATATAATTATTATTTCCATAATTTTGTTAATCCACTAGTGGACGAAAGCCTCCCCACATTGTGGATCACACTACACCAGACTGCTGAACATGAGTTGGTTCCCAGGACCAGTTTCAGATATCACTCGACGCTGATGTGAGCTGTGCTAGAGAATAAAACGGAAGGACGCTGGGTTATAAACACAGTGCGTTAACCACAGCGCCATCGCTCCCTCTGGAAGTGTATGTAACCCCCTGAAATTCAGGAATATGCTTAAAAGAGACCCCGCCCTGTGGAGCTTGACTCCACGACAGCACCCCCACAACACAATATGTCACCAAAACACGACGTGTATCTTTTTGCCAGTAGAGCCAACAAGCACACATCTATCTGAAGCTTAACCCTACCTCACCTTCAAGCATTGTCTGTGTATTACACTTTTGTAAGCATCAAATCTTTATTTTAAACGGCACCAGTTGTGTTTGGGGAATCTGGACATCAAGACAATCTGCTTATGTAATTCATGTTCATAGTGATATAATTAACCAGGAATAAGACATCAACTGAAGCGTAATAATTGTTGCCACTTATTTTCACTAATTGTGGGCAGTTGTTGTGAGTCTGGTTATCTATTTGAGTCTATGGGTGTTTTCCTCTGCCTATTACATACTGCCTCTCTACAAAATATACCCGGCCACTGCAAAATATTGAAATGCGGTTGCATTAAGATGCTACATAAATCTACTTTGTGTAAACACGTATGTTTTCACAGCAAATATGATTTATAATTCATTTTTTTGTAAGGCCACTTAATGATCCTACCAAATTTGTGTCATTAAGACTGTCCATCACCTGATATGGCCAAACTAAATTAACTGTCCTATTGCGTTGCATTTTTGGCTTAAGTATGTATGTTGAACTCATTTCACAGCAGTCATAGCCAACTGTGCTAATCGGAGGTGCGGGGGAAGGACAACCAACTAAACACAAAGCAGTTCTAAAGAAACGAGTTTTTAATTTAAAAGTGCATAGCTCCAGTGGCTTTCTAATATCGGAAGGAAGAGCATCTGAAAGCACGCGATGCAGTGACAGTCTTTGTTCGATTGAAGCCAAAAGCAGTTGCGAGAATGAGATCACCAAGTTCTTGTGGTTCATTTGTGGCAAGCGCTTTGTGTACAGCGAGTGCGGGTGCTGTATGCGGTGCAGTGCAGACATTATTTTCGCTACAGGAGTGAGGGCCTGGACGTGGACGACATCGAAGAGGATGCAGCAGCAGCAGAGGAGGAGGAGGAGGAGACGCAGGACGTGAGCCAGGCGGCAGCAGATGGCGCCCGAGCAGCTGCACGGGCGCAGAGAGAGACTGATGAACTCGCCGAGTATCGGCTGGACGAGTACGACAACGACGAAGGTTGAGCGCTCACACGAGACGCGCTTGGGGGAGACGTTCGCACATCTCAACCATTCGGGATTCAAGTTAATGACGTCCCATTTCACCGCTCCGCGCTTCTTTGCGTACTTCTCAAAATTAGCTAAATTTTCATCGGCACTTTAATATTTCATTGAATCACCGGGTAAATCATTCCCACTACTCTGGACATTTGTCCTGTTCTCTCATTGTCCCGTAACAGAGCTATATCTGTGAATGCCATTGTGCACAGATTGCTCTAAATCTCCGCGTTCTTGTGAATCACCAGCAGTGGTTGTGAGACGCATCCGTGCACTTTTTTTTTATTCGTTCCTTGTGTCTCTGCAAGGGCTCGGGCTGGTTTGCTACCTTCTTGTCTGAGCCAAGTCACATTGATATCATTCCGTAAAGCCATTATCTCAAACGTGTGTGCAGGCATGGGCGGCGTGATGGATAGCCTGGCGGGCCTCGCTGTGTATGCCAACAATGACGATGACCCATACATCACCCTCAAAGACACGGTGAGAGCAACCACTGTGGTCAATGACCGACAGATTAACCTTTCCCTGTTCCAAGATGTCTGCAGGTTGCATGGTAGGTACCATTCACCGCTGAATTCTCAACGCGCAAGCGGCTAGTGCTAAGGTTATTTAGAGAGGCATAGCACCACTGTTTTTAAAGATGTACTCACCGCAGAGAACTGTAGTGACAGAACCACACTCTGATAGCTGGCGCCAAACTGTACCACGTGCCCTCCCGCATGGCCTTTTACTTCTGACTCCGTTTCGATGACCTACGTATACGTACACATGTGTACATACGTATGTGTACATGTGTGTACACATACGTATGTGTACATGTGTGTACATACGTATGTGTACATGTGTGTACATACGTATGTGTACATGTGTGTACATACGTATGTGTACATGTGTGTACATACGTGTATGTACACATACGTCATTGCAGGGAAGGGTTAACAACCCTTTAACTATGTCGCCTCCATCAATATAGCTCATTTTGCTTCCCTAACGTGTCGTTTAGAAGCAGGGTACCATCTGGAGGGTTGCTGCTGAGGTGTAAAGGTTAGCACGCCTATCTTGCAATCCAGAGGTCACCGATTTGAACTCCCAGCCGGGCTGTTTAAATAATGGTGCAAGTTTCTTATAACCCCCTCTGTCCATTCCACATTATAAATGAATAAACCACAGTCGATCGACAGCTTGCGTGTCGTGGTGTAAGTTGGGGTAACTCCCAACTCTTCCACGACTTCTGTCTAGCATGGTAGAGGAGGCTAAAATAGCCTCTAAAGGAGCTCCCTAATGTTCCCCTCTAGTGGAGGCCCTTTCTGCCAGCAGTACTCCGAGCATGTAATTTACAAAGCTGCATCTTCACATTTCACACTCATCTTTGTTTGCAATTTGAATGAACATCCAGACCTGTCCTTGGATTTTTCTTTGGCGGTGCGTATGTATGTATGTACGTTGAACTTCTTTTGCACTTAGCCAGCCGTGATAATCAGAGTTGCTGGGGGAAGGACAACAAATTAAACACAAAAGCAGTTCTACAGAGCGATGAGCTTTGCATGTGTGCGACACTGCAGGAGGAAGATGAGCAGGAGGACTTCATCATCAAACCATCGGACAACCTGATCGTGACGGGCAGGACTGCCGAAGACTGCTGCAGCCTGGAGATTTACGGTGAGGAGAGAGGCAGCGGCAAATGCTGCAGAGTTGACCCAGAGCAGATTGAAGGATTTCTCAAATTCCCGACTAATGTCCGATAAAAAAAAAAATGTGAATATATTTGTACATGTAAACATTTTTAAATATCATTTGGAAAAGAAGAAAAAAAACTACAGCCTCTTAGAACTTTAAGTATTTTTTCTCTCTTCTTGATTATAGTAGAATCTAGATATAAGGACACCTTGTAAGCATATTTCAGATGCTTACTTATTACACTGGTTGGGGGAAGGTAAAGAGTAACTTCTAATACAATCACACTTCCAGTATAAGCACCTTTGTGGCCTTGCTACCAAGGGCTGTGTGGCAGACATATATCCTCTACTCCACGTACCAAGTGTTGAGTGTTGCGTTGATCGCTCAACCCTAATCTTTGAGCGTTTCTGACGGTGAGAAATTGCTGCTAAAACACATCCGAGGATGTGTCTCTAAGGGCAGTTATTGTAGGCGTGCTGGGATCAAGATGGACAGACTTTGAAAAAGAGCTTCAATACTCATCGGATTCCTCCGGTCTAATGATTCTGATTCTGGTTGGAGAGGTTTTTGGAAAATTCTACTTAATAATGAATAGCAGCATACCAATGTGCCTGAAGATAAACGTTTTTAATTGGTGTTTAATGTCAGCTGTGACTTGAATCAGAAAGAGGGACATTGTCAAATAATATGGAACAAAAGTTAAAAGTATAGAAAAGAACGTGGAGAGGTGTGTGCTTACGCTGAGAGACGTAGGAACATGTGGCTCAGACAACACGCTGGTAGAAACTTACCAATTTACTTTTAAAAAAAGGAAGTGGGCTTAGGCCTCGTCATGTTGCTAGAAGGAATGACGGTCAGAGGTTGAGACTAATGATGGAGTGGCAGCCAAAGGAGAGAGAATGCCCGAGAAGAAGAAGATATCCACGACAGAGAGGAAGCTATATTCTTGGTTCTTTCGGTAAAGTAACGTAGAAGGGAAATAATAAAATAATATAAATATTAAACAATAACAATTATCACGACGTTTCGACTGCAACACAAGCAATCATCATCAGGTGTGAAATCCACAGCAAGAATATTTATTTATTATTTTCTTGCTGTGGATTTCACACCTGATGACGATTGCTTGTGTTGCAGTCGAAACGTCGTGAGAATTTTTATTGTTTTATATTAATATTATTTTATTATTTCCCTTCTACGTTACTTTACCGAAAGAACCAAGAATATGAATCCCTGCAGTCACGAAAGCTTTAAATCAAGAGATGAAGCTATAAAATCGGCCTCTGTGCAGGTACTCGATAGCTTGCTGCTTCGCAGGACCGGGAGGGATGACATCGGCTTGGGCGGAGGTCTCCATCCAGCAGTCTGTTTATCATGGCTGAGGATGACAAACATTAAGTGGCTTATCAATCTGTTGTGTTGTCCAGTTTACAATGAAGCGGAAGACTCCCAGTATGTGCATCACGACATGATCCTGCCGGCGTACCCGCTCTGCGCCGAGTGGCTCAACTTTGACCCGAGCCCAGACAGTCGCGTCGGTAAGCCATCGTCACCTGGAGCCCAGTGCTGCACTCCTCATCGCTTCACACCTCCGCATGCGCATTGTGCTGATGTTCCCAAAACAATACTTGGTAATGCAACACCCAATCCTCTAGTGCCTCCACTGGCTCCCATTACAATCCCTGAACAATTTAAACATCAGGCTTACCGTTTTAAAGATGTTCCTTGGTCACACCCCTACCTACTACTACCCTCTCATCTCACTTAACTCTCCCTCCTCTCCCCTCTATTTTCACTCTACTCCCCTCCACGCACTCTCCTACCTCACCCCTCTCATCTCACTCTACTCCTTTCCATACACGATCCTATGTCTGCCCTCTAATCTTACTCTACTCCCCTCCACGCACTCTCCTACCTCACCCCTCTCATCTCACTCTACTCCTTTCCATACACGATCCTATGTCTGCCCTCTAATCTTATTCTACACCCCTCCACGCACTCTCCTACCTCACCCCTCTCTTCTCACTCTACTCCCCTCCACATACCCCCTATTCCGTGACAAGGGCTTTCTGTCGAAGCCCCCAATTAACCTTTGCTCATTTGGAGGTTGTTCATTCTCATCTTATGCCCCCATAGCCTGGAATTCCCTTTCCTCAGCCATCCATGTGTGTGGCTTTCTGCCCCTGTTCAAGGCAGGCCGAAGTGCTTCACTGTTTTTCTCTGCCTATGTCCGATGACTCCCTCTCTCTCCCTCTCTCTATAAAATAAATATGCCCACTGTTTGTATACGGCATCTTGCATTTAGATGCTTTTTAAATACAAGTGATATGTATGTATATACTTCATTCACACCGTACATTGCCAACCTGTGCTCATCGGCGGTGTGGGCGAAGGACAACAAACGAAACGCAAAGCAGTTTGTTATTGTAAAGGAAGATGCAGCCAATATCCAAGTGGCTTTTATACATTTGTACCTAGATTCTGTGTCCCAGGCTGTCCAGCGTGAGTTGAAAGCTTAATCGCAGCACTTTATTGATGTCACAGTGTCAACATGAATGTGCTATAATGGAGGAGCCCTGACTATAATTAATTATTGAAAATTTCACATTGTGTCAGGAAAGTCTAGGACACAGCATAGTATGTTCCTATTAAGATGAGGATTTCTCTACAAGGTAAGAGGGTAATTTTTGTTTTTCACGAGTGGTCAATTGGTGCTTTCAGTTTGTCTCTGCTCGCAGCCCTACTGCAATTCAATTAAGTATCTCGCCAAGAGAAATCCCATAGGAAGCGCATTAAGTGGCATTGAGTAAGTTACTGTTGCATTATCGATAGAAAATAATGGATTTGAACATTGCATTCAGGTCTTTAATCTATAGTGGGCAAACATTAATCAAAATTTGCCTTGGCCCAGTTTTAACCCACGTAAGCTGACTGAAATCGCCACACTCGAGTTCCGCAAGCCTGAAATTTAATAAGTAACATTTGGCAAAAGTTGGTAGTCTGACAGCAGAGTTCTACCCGCAAATGTAAAGCCCCCGATGTTAATGGCGCCGTCTTTGCTGGCTCCTCCGGCAGGAAATTTCTTGGCGGTCGGGAGCATGAAGCCTACCATCGACGTGTGGGACCTGGATCTCGTCGACGGACTCGAGCCCGTGTTCAGGCTCGGTCGCAAGAAGCCCTCCAAGAAGAAGAAGAAGACAAAAGGCAAAAAGGTGACGAGCCCGTCGCGCAGTTTTCCCGCAGCGTGCACGATTTTACGCCTTTGCTCGTTAAGTGAGGAAGTCGAGTCGTTTGCGTGAATTCCACTTGGTGGCGCAAGAGACTAACATTGAGGGTTGACGGCAATTTTTTTGATACTACCAGGGAAGGCCCCTCTGAGCTATGTAGCTCTTTTTTGGATGCGACCTGGCCACAAATGATAGCTCAATGAAGTGGCTCATGACGTGGAAATTTATAGCAGCCAAATACTCTAAACGCACGTTTCTAAATGTGGTGGGGAAAACCGGAGGACCCGGAGAAAAATCCACGCGAAAATAGGAAGCGAGAAAAACATTCAAACTCTGAATATACAGGCATCAGGGTCTGGATCGAACCCACAACCCCCTTGTATACCAGGAAAGGTAGTTAACTTAATTATTACGAGCAAATGTCAAGTTCTTCTCATGTTGACCTCGAATTATTTTATCACTCATTTTTCAGCTCCACTGCTGGATGAACACCTCGCCACACCATGTCAGTCATAGAGGTGTTGTTTGACCATACTTCACCATGCTGGTCGGTGTGGATTGGTGAAGGGTGGTGGTCCAGGACCGGTTTCGGCATCCCTCGCCATTAACCGTGTCCAGGAATCGAACTTGGCTCGCCTGGTTCATATAGCGCAGTGTCCTAACGACTGTATGCCCCCCCCTCCACCCACCTAATTTACTTTCCCTTAAACATTGGCATATTTCAGAAGGCCGCTTCGGATGGAGATTCCGAAACGACATCGGAGGGACACACAGACGCCGTGCTCGACCTTTCCTGGAACCACAACGCAAGGTAAACGCACGCAGACCTCCCATGCCCGGCGAGTCATCCAGGCCCGTGTTTTCCGACCACTCTGGAAGCGTGGACCACTGCCAACCCATCTAAATGATTTCAAGGACCACCCCGCACCGATAACACGTTGTACGATGTCCGTAAACGTGCCATCAATCGGCAGATTAAGGGCACTTGTCTTAATGAGATGCGCATCACATTTATATACAAAGGAATACAGAAAATGAATTGTAGCACCTGCCCACGGTTCCTTGGATCACTTTTCACGAGCCTTGCGGGACCATCATTTGTCGAGGACCACTGGTTGGGAACCACTAGCCCAGGTGACGATTTACTTCCGACGGCAGGCATCCCCACCGTAACGGCCACGCAGTGTCGAATTGGGCCTCGCAAATCACGTTAACGCGTGTAATCGTTTATGATGCTCGCGCCACGCCACTCTGATCCGCCACGTGCAACAACGCACGTTCGTCCCGCTTCTAGGAACGTGCTGGCGAGTGCCTCCGCCGACCACACGGTCATCCTGTGGGACCTGGTGCAGGGCAAGGTGGCGACAACATTGGAGCAGCACACGGACAAGGTGAGGTCACGCATGTGTGCGCGCACTCGCGTGTGTGTGTGTGTGCACTCGCGTGTGTGTGTGTGTGCACGTGCGTGCACACACACACACTCGCGTGTGTGTGTGTGTGCACTCGCGTGTGTGTGTGTGTGCACGTGCGTGCACGCGCGCGCCTGTGCCTGTATGTGCGGGCATGTGCGGGATCATTGGACAGCTCCCCCCTTGTGCAGTGCCATCTCCATCCATCACGTGGCAGTTGTTGCACCTGGCCACCGGGCTGCAGGCGCACATAAATCCGGCTGACATGTTGATGTATTTGAGCATCGCTCTTGGCTCGAAATTGGCAAAGAAAATAAAACATATTGAAGGATTACATTTTCCCTCCCCCCTCAATTTAGCACGGCTGTGTGAAAAGGCTGCGCAGGAGCGTTCGATGTCCTTGTGTGGTGGATTGATTCATAGCAGCTGTTGCTATTATTATAATATAAAAAAAAATGTTTGTGCGTGTTATCAATGTATAGCAGTTGTTTTTTTTTTTGCATCTCATAATTTTTTTTATTGCAAAATGGCACAACATCTTTACACACGGATAAAATGGCCATCGATGCACTGTTTCAGTGGCATGAGCATGCTGCACCGGGCACAGTAACTTGGCACATCAATTTCAGCGAGACACAAAAAAGACCTTCCAATTTAGCTTTGCGCTTGAGAAAAGCTATTGCTAATCTCATCATTCTTGGCTTGGCCTTTGGTGTGCCTCTGCGGGCACACAGCTCTTCGCCTGTGCTTTCCAACATCGAAATTAAAAAGCTAAAAAAACAGTCTTACTCGTCTATGATAATCACCAAAGCAACACATACCCCCCAAGGAGAGTACAGCGAAACTCCCGTTATCCGCGTTGATGTTTGGGATAACTTATCTGAAAAAAATATGAAGGTGCTTGGATGAATTTAGCACTTACTGGGTGACTCATTTGAAGATTGAGTGGTATTCAAATGAATTTCCCACCATTTATGGGCGACTCCTTTTATCCATGTATGAATGTAGATAGTAGGAAGACTCGGTGTCTGCAGATAGAATTATACCTTGGAATACTAATGATAGCGGGCAATAGGGTGGTGGATAAGAGGCATCTCGCTGCAGGCATTAAACGCTAGCCACGAGCCTCACCAACGATGGAGGCTGCGCCACATTTACACACAACGTCACGTCACGACTGTGCAGCGCTGCTTGCTCTGTGCTTGTGTCACGAGCTGCAGTATGGAGCGCGCTCGGGACTCGTTGACAGCGTCGCCTTTGCTCCGTGCTGCCTTCTGGATTTGGAAATGGAGACTAAGTTTCACATAAGCAGAGCGGATATAACAGTACTTTGGAAATGTGCTTTTTTTAAATCAATACTGTGCTTTGTTGGAATTGGCTCATTTTTTTGTTCAACGTTTAGAAGTTTTTATTTTATAACTACAATTATTGTGTTTGCGACTCAATCGCACTGCTTCTTTGTAATTTGTCGAGGTTAGCCTCGTAAGTATCTGCTGATGAAAGTAAGTTCACGAGTGGACCACGTGTTTGCATCTAAAGAAGCCGAGCATTCTGCAGTTTTCTCGCGCACTTTTCGCGGAGAGACTGGACGACAGCCGTGGGTTTGTTCGCTCGCAGCAGCCTGGGAAATTTCCAAGTTGGTGTGTGAGCCAGGCAGGGGGACACAAGCACTTGTATTCAGATTCAGAAATTAATTACAGTTGAATAATTTTCTGTGTGGGGTAATTAGTTAAACGGTTCTGCTGCTATTTGACCCCTTGGAATTTCTGCTTTTTTTTTTTCAAACTACAACGGTTATAACGAAACAGTCATCGTTAACATTTGCAGCATCATTCACAAGTGAAACTCCACCCTTGCCAACCATGCAGATTTAATCGGAAGGGTGCCGATTGTTACGCCATTTTTACCGCGTACCGCTTTTGCAGTCAACGTTTTTTTCGTGCGATAAACGGGTCTTAAAAATTGGCATCCTTAAGTCTGCCGGGTTGGCAAGTATGAAATTGTGGTTACAGCATTAACCGCCACGAGACGCGAGCTGACGCCGCGCCTGGCGAGCAGACGCCACGTGGGCACGCGCACACGCTACGGCGGCGGGTCCGGATAGAGCAGGAACCCGGTGAAGGTGATGTAGCGGCCGTGGTTGCTGTAGGCCCCGAAGCCCTCGCGCTGCGGGCTGTGCAGCCACACAGTGTCGCCGCTCTTGAGCTGCAGCATCACGCTCTGGCTCTGCATCTCGCGATGGGGCGACGGGTCGTCGTCGAAGAGCAGGGCCTGCGCCTCCCTCCCGTTGCGCATCAGCTTGACCGCCAGCGCACGGCCCGGCGCCTTGCCCGCCGTGAAGGCGAAGTAGTACGCGCCCGGCACGCGGCACGTGAACGTGCCCGACTCGCCGTCGAAGTCCCGGCCGATGTTCACGAACTCCGAGTCGAAGGGCATCGGCTGCAGGTCGTCATCCGCTGCAGACGCCGCGTTGCTCTCCTTCCCCTCTGCGCCCTTGCCCTTGAATTCGACCGGCAAGCTTTCGGTGCGTGCCACGGAGAACGCAGACCGGGCCTCATGGTTGACTGCCACCACCGCCAAGGACTGGCGTGACGGAGCGCCGCCGCGCGCCTTTGCATCTGCGGCCGGCGGCTCTTCTTCCGCCGCGATGTCATTGCTGGATCGTTGCTCGTCGCTGGCAGCCGGCGCGTCGTTGGCCTCTCGTTCCGGTTCGGCGGGCCGAGCGTCGCCGAGCGGCAGGTCGGGGTAGACGAGGTACCCGGAAAAGGTGGTGTAGGGCCCTGCGCTGCTGTAGAGCGCGTACTTGGGGTCGCCGTGCAGCCGCAGCCACACGGTGTCGCCGACCGACAGCTGCAGCATGACGCTCTGGCTCTGCACCTTGCGCTCGCGCCGCCGGTGCTCGTCGTAGGCAATGACCTGCACCTCGTTGCGGTTCTTCATGAGCATGACGGAGAGCGGCTTGCGTGGGTACTTGCCCACGGTGTAGGAGAAGTAATAGGCGCCCGGCACGCGGCACGCAAACACGCCGTTCGCCGCGTCGAAGTCCCCGCCGATGTTCACGTAGACGCGGTCGAAGGCCACCGCTATCTTGGGCCCGCCGATCATGCTGCTGGTGCGCGCGGCAGAGAACGCGGAACCGCGGGGTTGAGGCACGGACACCGTCGTCGTGGTGGTCGTGGTGGTGGTGGTGAAAGTCGCCACCGGTGCTGCCACGGCGAGCCCCTCGCGGCTCGCGTCGCCGTCGCCGGCGTGTGCGCCACTCGACGCCCAGCACAGCAGCAGTGCCAGCGTCGCCAGAGCGCCGGCGTGCGCCATCTCCGTGAAGCTGCGATGGGGCGGACAGATACACAGAGAATGTGTTTTTGTTTTATGCAGGGGGGGGGCAGACTTCATGTCTGTTGAATCGTGATCATCATTGGTCATGATCTATCCACTGCTGGATAGTCTCTCCAACCCATAGCCGTCTTGCATAGTCTTGCGGTGTAACAAACCTGTAAACAAGGTGATTTTATTTGTCCATGGTGGACGTCCTCTCAAGTGCATATTCCCTCCCTCGGATGTAGTTCATCATTATCCATGAGAAAAACCCCACCACAGCACTCAAAACGTTTTTTACCGTTTACTATTTTGTGCCAATTGAGCCCACCGTTTTTGTGACATGCGCTTTGCTGTGACATCCATCAACCTCGAGGCACTCGTTGAACAGGATTGACAACTGACAAGACCATGAAGGTCGAAACCAGTCTGTAAATGTGTCTGCTTAAGCAAATCCTGATGAAAATCTTGATCCAGAAGGCCAGTGAACTGAATTGTTATTCTATTTCTTCCCTGTACGTTCATTTTTGATCCACTTCAAACCAAATGTAAGTACAGGAATAAACATGAGGAAATAAACAAGCGAACGCGATGCGCCGGTTAAATTGCATCGCAGATTGTTTCGTATTTTTTTAATAATAATAATTAGAAGAGCTCAGGAGCCCGCATGTAAATGTAACGCAGTGATTCGCGTGATAATTGCATCGGCGTGCCGTCACTGTACACAAAGCATAATAGGAGGTGTGCTCATTAGTGTGCTGCTCCAGCAGTAATTGCTGGGTTTGCTGCGTGTGCTTGATGGACCGTTGCTGCTTCTACTGCTGAGAGCAGCTGGATGCAAAAGCCAGTCCACCCCACCCTTATTGTTATTGATGGTGCACAACAATTGCAATTTTTTGTTAGTCGTGGAGGTTTTTGTATTTATTATTATTAGACCTGCATCTCTCATTTTTATGTGTTGGCGCCATGTCACGAGAGGAAGGATCCGTTCGGAAACCCTTGCACAGCAGTGCAACACTTTGTGTCAGAGAGCGGTCCACAGAAGGAGACATTACAGTACCGTTTCTGAAATCTCTGAAAGTGACCACTTATCTCCACTCAGGATGGTATTATCGCACTGAGCCTGCTAGAGCTATAAATTTTGCCAAATTAAGTGGGAGACCCAATGTATTATCATGGGTGATTTTGGGTGCAGTCGGTGGTGACTGGGCTGAGGCCATCAACTTGGTGCACTCGAGAGAACCCAGTTTGATTACGGGCAGTCGATGAAGCCCCACGTCTAACTCGAGTTCTCAGTGGTGCCAAGCTCGCCGCTGTTGCCACCGAATCACTCGGCGACCTCGATTACATTTTCGCATACTGCAGTTATAGCAAAATTGCACATTCGTCAGGTTTCCGCTCTTTGTGGTTGTCGTCGGCATTTCTGCCGCATGTTAAGACGAGCGAACGACACTTGCAACCTAATTAATCCCGAAGGAGACTGCTGCTAGCACTCGTCCACATCTCATGACGATTATTTTTTTTTCATTGAATTTAATTTCCCCCCCCCCCCCCCTTGTTTCTTTTTTTTCTTTATTTTTCACGTCGCTCTCCGCTCAGAAACCATATCCGCTCAGAAACCGTATTTATTTTTCACGTCGCTCTCCGCTTGCCGCTTGTCGGCAGGCCTCCCTGGCCACCTGGGTTTAATTGCCAATCGGCCGCACGCTGCTGTCGCTAACGGGAGTTGGTTTGGCCGACACGGAGTCGCGGCGGTTGCCATGTTTCAAATTGCGGGGTTTGTTTGGTTAACGCGCCCGTGCGCGCCGCGCAGATGACGGCGCGCGGGGAGGGAAAATGAGGTCCGCGGTAACGAGAAACCATTAACGCAGCGGCAGTCTATAATTACTGCATTATGCCGCAGCGGCACTTAGCCGGTAGCTAAGCAGCGTTCTCCAGTAAGTGCCATTTTTTTATGTACATACGAAGAACATTGTGACTGCAGTTAAGTTCTTAAAAGCGAAACAAATTAATAAACAGCAATGATGGATTTAGCCAACAAACAAAATTACTATAATTGCCCAAAATACTGCTTTCTGCCCTCTGCTGTCCGTTGCTCACAACAATGTAACCTTCATTGCACCAGTGCCAAACATTCATTTTCGTCTGAGTAGGGGAGCTGCAGTGCAGTGGCTTGGTGCGCCGCGTTGTGAACCTGGCTACCTGAGGTTGATTCCTGGCCGCGGCGAGTGATAACTGAACCGGTTCTGCCCCCCCCCCCACCCCCACCAAAGACAAAGATCCCCCGTATAGCCTGAACAGACTTGGGGCAGGGGCTGTTAGCGAGCACCTATGAAGGCCGGAACTGCAGACAAGGGGGTGTCCAGCACCACCCCCCAACCACCACTTCACCAACCCACACTGACCAAGATGGTCAAGTATGGTCAAACAACTCCCGTGACAAATATGGTGTGGTGGGATGGCCTTACTCCGGCGGTGGCTTGACGAAGCTCATTATTTTGTGTTATTTTATTTTTGAGGGAATGCCAGCGAATTTAGAAAATCGTTTTTCCCCACTGCTGTGTTCTGTCCAGGACAAGTGATAAATTGCATTTGAGCTGGCCTCGTCGGCATGCACTGTTTAACATCCCAGCAAAGCTAAGCTCCCATCACCTGGGGGATATATCAGCCAGCATTACGACAGATTGGGCATTATTTAATATTTTGTAATACATGTTTTACTTTCTGAAAACCATTTGTAGGCTTGTCACTATGCATCATTAAAAACATTGATTTTCACGCTTTTTGATGTGTGCGTCAAATTTCCGCGCATGTGAGAATTCATCATTTTTTAATTTGATGGGTTACGATTCGTACCATTTAAATGCAAATGCCACATGAAGACTACTGGAGGGACCACAACTGTACAAATGACACGGGGAAAACCAAAAATTCTTTCAACGATATGGTAAAAATGAGACTTTAAATAATTGATTGTCGATTTAAATTGCAACCTCCCCCCCCCGCCCCGAATTGTACAAATGTATTGAATCAATTTAGGTGGAAGGGCCCAGTGAGTGAATTGGTACATGGGTAATAATTGTCTCTAATCATGATAAGCTCCACTCCTCCAACTCACATTTTACTTAATGTGAACAAATGTCCCTTTCAATAGGTGTGCTTGATGTGAGGCTAGCATCACCGCAAAATGAGCAGTCTTATCAATGCATCAATTATTTATTGGTATCAATTCTTATGTCTCACGATTTTTACTGGAACAAATTGCTGCGTTGATAATTGTTTTTTTACCCTTCTATCTGGCAATAAAACTGACACCTTTTTTACAAGGAGTCATGTTTGCATAGACCACAATACCTGCAGTCATACTGCAAACAAAAAACATAACTCTGTATGCACTGTCCTTGAAGTTGATTGGTCCACACCCGAGACAGCTTTCCTTAGAGCCTAGTCTCACATGGGTTGGACCAGATGACGCCAAAAGGCGCCTTTTGGCGTCATCTGGTCCAACCCATGTGTCTATGCAAACATGACTCCTTGTAAAAAAGGTGTCAGCTTTGTTGCCAGATAGAAGGGTAAAAAACCAATTATCATATTTTTTACTGGCAAATGAGGTTCCAATGGTGTAAATTGCTGCGTGTAATGATAACTGTTTTATATTTATGTGAATGATCAAATTATTCGCCAATGTCAAATTTAGTCTAAAGGAGCAAACAAAACCGTACAAACGATAGAGCAACAAATAATATATTATACAAGTGGTGAGCAATAAAATAAGACTGCAAAAGAATAAATGATTTTATCGAATAGAGGCCCTGCATTGCAGAAATTCATTAAATCGCTGTGGGTGGGTTTGGTTGGGTGGGTTGCTTTCGGTGGGTGTGGTAGTGTTTGGGTGGATGTGGTTTGGTTGGTGGATGTGGGTGGGTGTGGGCATGTTGGTAGGTGTTGCTAGGTTTGTGGGTGGGTGTGTGGGTGTGTTTGAGTGGTGTGTTTGTGACTCGTTATGGACGCGAGGCTGAACCACAGTGGCTGCAGTCTGAACGCTGTGCTCCGTGAAGACCGCTTCCTTATGTCGTACGGGACGTGCGGCGAGCGCTCGTCCGATCGAATCACGCGCCGCTGCCTCGCGCATCCCCAGCCCGCCGCTCGCCCTCCGCGCCCGTCCTGCCTCGCGCAGCCCGTTCAGCGTGCCACCTCGCTAGCAACGCGGCGGCGAGTGAATACAGATGTCCGCTCGCCGGCCTACATGCCACACGTCCGACTGTTTAAGCGCTTGCATAACACGTCCAATTGAGCCCGTCGGTGCATTTACTTGCACAGTGACATTCACGTCCATGCAGTTCACACGCGCGCATGTAGCGCGGGTAGAATTATATCCGCGTGTGGCAGACAGCAGTGGCTCTAGCGTGGTTGGCATGGACCCTGGGGCAAGGAATGGAATGGGGCCACCGTCCACATTTCCCCCTCTTTGTAGCCCAAATGGCCCCTCCAACCCTTGGGCTCTGGTGTATTTCCACCACCTGGACATTTGGGAATGCAGTGTGATATGCATACCAATACGTTTGTTAACTATTAATGTTTAGTAATGTTTAGTAATGCATACACGATTTCGAGACATCATATTGGCTGTTAAGAAAAGCAAGGCGGGATTGGGAAGGGCACGTTAATAGAAGGGATAATGTCTGGTGGTTGAGACTAATGAACGAGCGGCAGCTAATATAATTATACATTGGACTGATATAGCACTGTTCATGCAGAGATCACAGATCGCTGTACACAATAGACATGAAAAATATATATTTTTTAAAGTGTAGGGAATGTGCCCAAGAGGGCGACAGCCGAGGAGATGGAGTGATGAAATTCACTCGTGTGCAGGAGCGGAATGGATTGCTGCATCCATCACAGGACCTTGAGAGAGATGGTGATGACTTTGGGGAAGCCTTGATCCTGCAGCAATTGCGCATGGGTTGATTTCTTACGTAACGGAAATATATAGCTTATAGGCATCATGTTACTAAATACATCTGGTTCGTTTAAAATCACCTTAATTGTGTTTTTCTTGTGCACCTTTACATTATATATGTTTAAAAATAGCTCCCCTCCTGCTGTGATGCACATCGATCGCTCGGGCAGAGATTCATTTTGCCCTGCCAGTTTTTTTATTTTCACACGGGTTACCTGCCGGAGGTTGCTTTGTATTCTGCACGAGGCTTCGGCTCCCATCCGGGCAGACCTCATTTCTGCAAAGGTCGCCTCTGACAGCCGCGCTGACAAGACAATGATTGCGGCAGTCGAATCTGCACCCTCGAAAACCGCCGAGCGGACTTAACGGATGCAACGGGTTACGGCGGTCGTGCGCGTTCCGCCGCCGTGAGTGTGAAATTATCGACCGTCCCACCGCCACCGCCGCCGCCGTCTCGGCCGTGAATCCGGATTCGCAAGGCAGTGGCCGTGTCTCTCGCGCGGCGTTCGCCATGTGTTGATTGGTGTTCCGAGCCCGGCGCTTGCGGTCGGGGAAACGGTTGTTGGCAGCACCGTGGTCTCGTTCCACTTTGATGTTTAATTTGTGTCCACTCTGCGGGAGGCATTGCTCTTCCAGGCACCTCGCTCTCAGCTTGCCGATGTTCGGAGCCAAACACAATTATCAGCCCTTAAACTGAAAACTCGACATTTTTTTAGTTATTTTACAAGGTAAGGCCCACCGAGTTATATAGCTCTTTAGCTGAAGCAACCTTGCCACAAGTTATAGCTCAAGGAAATGGATTATCACGTGGACATTTATAGCAGAAAAATACTTGAAACGCGTGTTTCTTAGTGTGGAGGGAAAAACCGGAGGACCCAGAGAAAAATCCACACGGCCACGGAAAACATGCAAACTCCAAATATACGGGCGTCAGGGTTGGGATCGAACCAACGACCTCCTGTATACCCCTGTGATGAACGCATGTCGCAAAGCCCTTTCTTGGCTCACAGCCCATGGGAAGTTAGTTCCCTACGTCTCTGGAGAGAAATGTGATTTATTGACACAGCTGAAATTTGCACCGCTCAATACATATATGTCTGCATGTGAGTTGCGTTGGTATTCAGGATTCACCTCCACCCTGACCTTCCCAGAGTTTTGATGAACTGTCATGATTTGGAGTCCTAGAATTAATTAGTTTTTTATTCTTTTATTGTTTCATATCTATTGGTTAAAATGTTTCATCTCATTTGTATGGTTGTGTTTGTTCCATTAGCCTAAGTGTAACATCGGAATATAGTTTTAAAAAATTGAAAAACATGGATTAAGTTTTAATTAATGCATTGCCACATGCCTAATGGTATTGCTTCTGCACTGTAGAAATACCTTGGCCGTTAGCAAACGAAAACTAGAGCCTTCTCTTGCATTGTCTGGATAGATGTACGCATTGTATGTTCTGCATTTTAAAATATACAATAATTCCAGTTATTTGTCTCGATTACTTCAGGAGGGGTTTGCATTGGGTTTGTTTTTCACGTGGGAGGAAGCTGGAAGCACCTGGATAATCCCCACGCGCGTGCATGGAGATAATACTGGAAGGTCCACACAGATGGATACGTGTACCCATTTGTTGATATGGTGATCTTTTCGTAATCTCGCAGCCCAGTTGGTTTGGGAGTTTGATATATCACAGCATGATCCACCAACTCTTATCTTCAAAGCTGTGAATTGCAGGTGTGTATTTCTACATAATTAGCAGCTTCCGTGCAAACCGTTGGATCTCCAAATGATACATTTCTTTCGGGCAGGGATTCTCAAACCCCCGTTCTCATTATCCGCCTAATTCCAAAAAATATTTTTGATTTTCCAAACGCTGCAAACGCCTACGTTTTTGCAAAACAATAAGACCATATGATGTAGAGAGCACCATTTCAAATCACGTGTGTACGTGTGCGTCTAGCGTGACATAAACAGGACGATTAAAATTAATCGGCACTGTCTTTGTCGCGTGAAAGGTGTTACGGAATCATTAGGCAGCGTGCGCCGGTCGTAATTTCACGGAGATAAATTGCAACCGTAGCGAGATTTATTTTCCCAACAGTTTGCATGTTCTCCGATTAGTCGAGCAGTGTAACCGATGAAAATCGGTTAGAGTATTCCATTACAAATAATATCCGGTAGCCCAGCGCTAGTTGCGATTCATTCCAGGGGCGTTGCATGTGGCTACGTGCGCCTCTGGCGGACTTCATACTTGGGACCTTTTCAGCGGCACTCGCTCCAAAAACAGGTGATGAAGAGGATGTTGTAAATTCCAGGTAAGGATTGCGATTCGGAATAGAATTGCGGTCATGAGCTGGAAAAATCCCTGGTGCATTGAATTTCATGGCCACTGATAGCTGTTAAATGCACGACGCGCTGTCCTCGTTCCGTGAACAGATGGTGTGCGATGGGGCGAGGAATATTCTATAGGTGACCAGCAGGCCACCTTCAGATTTTACAGCTCCAAATTAAATCTCGCTCGCCAAATTCAATTTTCCTTGCCGGTCTGTCGATATCGGAACCTTTACCATCGCAGGACCTTTTTCGCGTGGCATTTTTTTCCCAGAGGAAGACCGTGTCAATGCTTTTGCGACGTGTTTCGTACCTGAGCAAGAAGACAGTTGCCCTCATGCATATGCTCCCGTGTGTTAACATGTGGTCACGCATGTTAACATGTGTGCAGTGTCTTCTTGGTTCTTTCGGTAAAGTCACGTAGAAGGTAAATAATAAAATAATAAAAATAAAACATAATAAAATACAATTCTCACGACGTTTCGGCCACAATGCAAGCAGCCGTCCTCAGGTGAAGAACAGGTCTGTCGGAAAGACAGCGTCTGACAGACCTGTTCTTCACCTGAGGACGGCTGCTTGCGTTGTGGCCGAAACGTCGTGAGAATTGTATTTTATGATGTTCTATTTTTATTATTTTATTATTTCCCTTCTATGTGACTTTACCGAAAGAACCAAGAAGATGAATCCTTGCAGTCACGAAAGCTTTAAATCGAAAAAAATGTGTGCAGTGTGTTAACATGACTGTTTGTTCATTTTGCAACACAGTGGGTGTGTGTGTGTGATTAGCTTGCTTTTACATGTTCATGTATGAAGGTCTGCATATGAGCGTGAGTGCATGCACGCATGGGTGAGTGCATGCATGCATGCATACACTCACTGGATTTATACATTCCACAAGTACATTCTCAGCACAATTGCTCAACAGAAAATATAATTGGCAACAGATTCCATAACCGGTCAAATTACACTTGTATGACTAGTCTTCTGCAATGCAATGCCAATAATTTTCTCGGTATGATGTCCGACGTTCTGCTCCATGTCCTTGGAGCTTCAGAAAATGTAGCTCTCTGCCGAGCATCACACGGTACAACCCAAAAACCCGCTGGAGAGTGAAACTACAGCACGACCACAAAAGCATGGGCGGTGGTAATCTGCATTTCTTTTAAAGGAGAAATGTGTTTTGTCTGCTGTTCAAACAATGCTTTCCATGAGCTCGTGAAGATTATCTTCTCAGCTGTTTGCTGCGGGAGTTTATCACTTGCACGGCCGCCAGAGGAGACCACCTCGTCGACGATAATGTGACCAATCGGCATCCCTGGCACCAAGCCCCGTCATTATCCGTGCGATGCACACAGCGTAGCGCAGCAGAGAAACACTGGATTACCTCAACTAGGCACGGAGAATGGAACCCAATGCTATTCAGCCAAAGAAGGGCCAGCGCGTTTATCTTTTTATTTTAAGAAACTATTCTAATGTGTCATGCACGACGAAGCTTTTACGGTCGTCGTTGCAAAAGTGCCCGGCGCGGGTCGGGAAATGTTGATTGTGAGTCAGCTGCTTGACTCCACATTTGAAATTCACCCTCCCTCCACTCTTTTTCTACAGCTCATTAATTATACATTCACGTATAACAGAGGCTTAGTGGAACCAGAATTTAAAGGCAGTAATATAACCCCCCCCGCCCCCCAAAAAATGAAATTCTACTCCAAGGCAGAGCGCGACCAGCGCAGCATTTTAAAGCAGCGGCACACAACGAGATTCACACACGCAAGCAGTCCTTAACAATAATAATAAACACCAATCTTACCAGAGTAGCGGAAGAGAGGTTTGTTTTGTTTATCAGATGATCCGGTCAGGTCTGCCTTTTTGTATATATTGATATATTTTTTATCTTTTTAAATCAAAAGCTGTGCCGGTGCAGGAGCAAGTCGGATAAATATTTACGGCTCGACAGGAAAAAAAAAAATCTTCCGGGATGCAGGGCGAGAAAAGCGCCGGCGATATCGTTTGGAATGAACTAGCTGCACGGACGGCACACGTGCGTGGCCGATCCTCGCTCACCAACGGCTGGCGGTGGCTCCCTACGCCAAAACGTGAGCTAGTGGCGAAGCGACCGGCAGGTTTCCGAGGCACCAAACGCGAGCGAACACCCCCCCCCCACTACTCCCCCCAAATCCCCTCCACCACCAACCCAACCACCGCCACACCGCACACCCCGCCCAGCCCAACCTCCGGTCGCATAGCAGAGACACAGGGGGCTTGGAGGGGGGAAGAGAGATAGATGAGGATGGCGAAGTCGAGGATGAGAAAGGCGAGGGGTAGGTGGCGGGAGGCGGAGTGACAATGAGTTTATATTCGACGCATGCCTCCTGTTTCACTTGGACAGCCTCGCTCGCCCGAGCGATGTAGTGATTTTCCTACAACCAGGGATGAGCAAGAACCTTCGTTACATTCTGAGAGCGTCTCTCCTGCACGCGATCTTTTTTCATCTTCTTGGTTAATGTGGGGTTTTTTTTCTCCGTCATCCAGACAAATTTGGTTTCTCCATCCATTGCCCGTGATTTATGCTAACGCTGGCTAATCGTGAGCAAGGCAGGGCAACGCGCAATAACGCTGCGCTGCCGTTTCAACCTCCCCGGAGAACACTTGAGAACATTACGCCGACCTGTCAAGTCACAAGCCTAGCTCACCTTTCCTGTCGCCCAAGTAATTATTTTTTCGTTTAAGAATATTTTTTATTTTATTTTACCTGCACGTTGAAATAAATTGTCACAGTGTTCCTTGCGCCCTCAAATTAAGACGCCCGGCATGTTGCTGTGACAGAGCGTTCGTGCAGACGTTTAAACGATCGTCCCTTTTCGGTTAACGTCTGAGAATAAGGGTCTTTGTTTCGCTGGGCCTCTAATAGTGTCCTATAGATTTCCCAACCCACCACTACCTTCCCACCCCACCCCCAGCACCCCAGCGTCAGCCAGGCGGTAACTAATAAAATTTGACGTTATTAACTTCCTATGTGAAGAGCATCGGGCACAACACAGGCTGCATTCATGAGCTCTCACAGCAGCAGCAGCAGCGCATTGTCCTTGATTATGGCTTAAACATAATCCTGTCTGTTGGTTATTTTTGAGCGGAAGGAGGAGGTTTGGGGGGATGAATTAGAAAAACCGGCAGCTAAATCCCTCTGCTGCAAACACGGGGAGACATTGTTTTTTTTAAATTGCACTCTCCAGGACACTTGAAACTCCCGTGTGTGTGTGCACACATATCAAGACAAAGACCGAGATCCCCCATGCACCGCACATAGACTGTTGGGGCAAGTGTTATTAGCGAGCACCTAATGATGGCAGGCACGGCGCACGAAAAGGTGGTTTGGCCAGCTTTGTGCCTGGCCTCCTTTGTCTCTCCCCGGTGTTGATATGAAGACACCACAACAGGTGCCTAATTTTGAATACTCAGTAAACCTAGTGCAAGGAGGCTCTGGACCGGTTAACATGTCACTCGCCAGCGATGTTATCCGTGGCCAGAAACCTAATCCACGTAGCTGGCTTCGTAGCAAAAAACAATCAGCATGTTGCCCATACACAAAGAGAAAGATCCCCCGTATAGCCTTTAACAGAGTGTTGGAGCAAGTGTTGTTTGCGATCACTTATAAAGGCCGGCACGCCGCACGAGGGGGTGGGCGTATAGTACCACGCCTGGCCGCCTTTGTCTCCCCAGTGGTGATGTTTACACACCGCTACACCAGGTACTAATTTGAGGATGAGTCGACCTAGGGGAAGGCCCAGGACCGGTTCAGATAATCGTCACCAGTATTGGCCGTGAGCGGGAATCGAACTCGGGTCGCTGGTTTCGTAGCGCAGTGTGCTCACCCCTCCACCCATACCCGTACACGCACACACAATGAGGCACACCGACTCCCCATCGCCCAGAGCCCATTTACAGATAAATAGGTGTGGAACGAGCAGTGGCATTTTACACGATTTAATCACTACCACTCTGTTTCCACGATGGCGCTCCCTGCCATTAACCTGCACAAGCTCCCCCCCCCCCCCCCCCCCCCAGGGAGAATCTTTTATTGTCAATTTAGTTAAGAAATAATTAAGTGGAGCTTATGCAAACGTTTATGGCACGTTGCTGTTGCCGGTGAGCAATGGAAGGTGGTGGAAAATTGGAGCTTTAAACCATGAAATTCACATCTGGGGTTTGATGGAAAAAACGGATTCCACACATGTATATATGTATGTATGTTGAACTGCGTTTGCATCGTACGTTGCCCAACGATCATGGAATGAAGCTGGGGACCGAAGCTGAGTCTGCGATCTTTTATTTTCAGTATTTTGACGGGCAACATCGTTGTAAGTCCTTTTCTCTTTTATAGGCGATCTGTGTGATATATAACCTTGCACATCATAAACGCCGGTAAATATTTGACGATGCAAGACTGAGCGGATATTTCCCCGCAAATCGTAGGCTCTGAAAAATCTGTCCTTGACATAAAATAACCAGATTGCTGCTTTTAGGTGTTTTTTTCTTCTTCTTCTAAAGAGTGGAGATAATGTCGTTTCAATGAAGAAGTCTATTCAGAGTGATGCTTCGAGAAATATTTCGGCGTTTCCGTTAATTTTTTTTGTCAATTGTTGCTCGGGGGGCACCGTGCCGTTTCCTTGCTTTGGGATGAGGATGGACCGACTTCTTATGACGGTGCGTTCGCAAGAGCGCACCCACAGTCGTAGTACGACCGTCGCGCTTCCTTCTCCCTGGTGATGCTCATTCCACTGTCGCATTGTTTTTGCCTGCCGAGCTCGAAATTCACTGCCGCGACTGGCGAGCACAAAGGCGCCACTTTCATTGCGTCCGCTATCATGCCGCGTGCCCTCGTTGAGAATTCCGTCTGATCTGGCGGCAGGACGCGCTACGAGTGTCGGCGCGAGCATTCGCGTGACGGTGTTTAATTCCCCCACCGCCTTTGCTTCGCGTGGGGAAATTGAATGCCGGCAACGGCGCCCTGGAGATGAGCGGCAGGAAAGTCTGCAATTTTTTTGTGTTAAGCACGCCATAAGCAGGGCCTTGCTCGTTAAGTCTGTGCCCCACCCTAAGGCTCGTCGGCCCGTCGGCTCTGCAACTCAGCGGCTCGTAATGGACAGCATCTGTCGGTGCGATTGTAGTGCCGTTCCACACGCGCGTCCCCCTTTCCCCAACCCCAGCCGATCTTGCCCCACTTTGTCTCAGGCCCCCGAATGTGTTACACTCGACCGCGGGCTACTGAACCGATGAGCAAAACGGCGGTTTGGAAATGACTGAGCTGTAGCAGCCAGCGGTGATTTTTTTCAACTTAAATTTGGAGACGGATTTCATCAATCCTTATCAACACCACCATAGTTCATTTCCTGGCCAAGGCTAACCTAAGTGCCGACGAGTGTCTATATCTGAACCAATCCTTGGCTCCGCTGTTCAGCGACACACTGACCAGCCCCATGACTGAGTGTCAAGGCGAGACCTTCATCCACCAGTAGTAGTATAATAAAAGAGCTGGACATTATCCTAAGTTCAACAATTTTTATCTAAACAAATCACTTGGTGAACCTGCGCTGGCAGTGGTGCACAAGCACAAATAACTTAAAAACTCGAACGCATCAATAAAGCTGCCTTAATAAAACACTCTCACGTGTTGAGTTTTTAATTTATCCTCGGGCCAAACTCGAAGGCGCATGAGGCGATGATGATTCATTGTCACCTTCCTTTGTGCACATCCTGGAGCGGGCCCGTGAATGACGCTCGCGTGCTTTTCTGTAAATGATGCCGATGCAATGCAGAACTTCGCACGCAGTCACTTTCTTTCTGCTTGCTCGGCAAATCTTTCAAAGAGTTGCTGCCAGCGTCGGAGCGTGAGTCGAGCAAGTTTCGTGGCGCTCGGCCAGTGGCTGCTGCTAAGACACCGCAAATGCTGCTCGTTAGCCAGTGACAGCTTGCTTCTGGGGCAGATTTTTTTGTTGTTATGTTTTTTTTATTCCAAGTTTTATCCCAATGACGCTGCATGACAATGTATCAACTCAGAACCCCTCGAATAATAATAACTACTCGTGGCATTGGTGGCATTCTTATAGTGCAAGGCTATATCATTCAGCTATGGTCTGCTATTAAGCGGTGCATCACCCCGTGTGAAGATAACTACCCATGGAAGATGATATCACAGACGTGACTTCTGAAATCTCAAGTGACCTTTTATGCATGTAAGAAGGCGCTGCACCTTCCCACAATTCACCCTGCTTTGGAGAAATGTTTGACGCATGGCAGGCGATCCATTATTTTTAATTAACAGAGCTGCCATTTTTTTTAATTTAAGTGTAAAAACAAATTTAATATGACGAGGTTTTTTTCATCCAGCCATTGGTGACTGAGGCGAGACCATTACTCATTCCACTTGAGAGCCCTGTTTAATCGTACGTGTGGCTTAAAACCAAATTCCATGATAATTTATCCGCAGTGCTGGCTCGGTGCTGTCTCTTGAGCCACCCGGTCACCTCCATAATCATCAATCATCAGCCATGATATGTCCACTGCTGGATGAAGGCCTCCCCCCATCTCTGCGGTAGTTGTGGCTGCCATTCCATGACCAGTCTCGACCACTCACTGTGTCGTCCCTTCTAGCGAAGTGTCCTCCCGCCCGAGCCCACTCACTTTGCGTGCATGATGATGACGACTAACTTGCGTACATTCTCCGTTACATGCGCTTCTCTTCGCGTCTCACTGTAATAGTCGTCTCCTTAATTTCAGTCACGTCACTTCGTCACATATATGTACATTCAAATGATAATGGCACATTGTGCGAGATAATTATTATGGATGGCTGGTTATTTTTAATTAGTCTTCATCTGCTTGAGAACGTCAAAGACAATTTCATGAATTTGGGAGCCAGCGAAGCCGTTAAGGCTCTCACCCTCCTCCGGGCTCGCGTTTTCAGAGCGCTGCACCCAGAAATGTCGTCGATGGGGGGATTATTTGCAGATGAAGTTTACAATGGATAATCGCCCCGTCCTTTTATAAAGGGCTTACTGTTTACCCGCAATCCCCACGCTCCGCCACCACCGACTGGGTTTACTTGATTTATTTACAAAACTTAAACCCCCGCATGAGCACTGCAGACACTGCAGA